ACAAACATGTCGTGGCTGCAGTGCAGCAAAGTAAATGGATAATAAATTGAGTGACATTTCCAAAGGAACAATACTTCTACTAAATTTCATTTAAATGCTTCCATTACCAGTGCTTCAATATATTGTGCATTACTTTTTGACCAACATTTGTATTATCAGATATGTGCAGGTATCTTACTTTATTGTTCTATGGTGAAGGGATACTACTTGTTTTGTACCCATCAAAACACCTTATTTATTTAAATTGTGTATTTATTATTACGTATAATTGAATTATCTAGAACACAATGCATATATAATATTGTGTTGTGTTCTAGAAAATTCAGTTATGCACAAGGGTAACGATTCTGTTTAGCAAGTGTGTAATTGGCAGGAATCAAATAATAACAACTAATTTTTATCAGTTATTTATTTTGTTGGGGTTTTTCAATTAAAATTAAAACATCTCAAACATATTTACTTCTGAGAGATAAAGTAATACATTAATGTTAATACATCAAGCATTTCATAAAGAATTAAGCAACGTAATATGGTTAAAAAAGTTAAACAGAGGCAGCGAGTGCTTAAAAACAGCATTAAAAGAAAACTCTCCGCACAGGTGGGATATCATGCTAATAAAGAAGCTATTACTTATCTAACAAAAGAATGGATAGCACAAATGACAAGGAAACTTGCCAGAAAATGAGAGCATCCTGATCATGGCTCAAGAGTCAGCAAAAGGGTCTATCTGCTAGAGTAGATAACTAGATGAGGTGCTGGGCAGAGGGAACTAATAAGTGCTTGATGTCTCCCATGCCGAAAAGAGGATTGCAGGTCCACCTGGAGAAATGGCTGGGTTCCTTAGCTATATTTTTGCTGGGTTGCAGCTTCAGTTTTACCTCCATTGCGAGAGATGTTTAGATTACTTTGTTGTGTTACAACGTTGGGTTTTAACTCCTCAGTGAGGTACATTAATTACATTGTCATTTTCTTTTATAGTTTTAGCAAGTGCCCCTTGAGGGGTAGTGCAGAGAAGGGAGGCAATCGAATCGAAAGAAAAAAGTGAGCTCTCTCCCACCTGCAACCTGTTTTAAAGAGTTGAAGGTTACCACATACCAGAAAATGCCCCAAAAGAAGGGAGAATTTTCAGCACCCACACCAAGAACATCAGAACCAGAATCACACCAAGAACCAGAATTTCTACATTTATGTTATTTCAATTCAACATCTTTCTTTCTTGACGGCCATCCAAGCTGAAGGGGGGGGAAGAGGAACCCTTTTTTGGTGCTTTCGAACCCCTCAGTAACCAAATTAAATCGCTTAAAGTGGGTAATCTTGCTTAATATCAGAGTTAAAAAGTTGCTTTTGAAAGCCAGAAAAATCCTCCCCATTTCTAATGAAAATATGTACTAGTTTACAAATAATATCTCAACTAATTAACTTACATTAACAAATATAAGTTTACAAAAAAAGCAAATATTTACTGTATATTGTTGTCTATAGATGAATACTATGTCAGATAGATGAGAATGAATAATTTGTATTTTAAAATTTCAATAATACTCAAAAATTACTGAAGACACATGTCTCTTAACTGAGTTAAGCTAAAACGAAAGTGGAATATCCGACTTTTTAAAAAATAAAGAAACTAACTTAATTACTTCGTAAATTAAAGTGTGTAGCTGAATTTGGAGTAAGATTTTAATGGATTAAATAAATCTGACTATAGTATGTTGCAAGGAAAACGCATGAAAATATACATGCATTAGAAAGTCAGGTCAGTAATATTAACAACAGTAATAAATTTTATAAGCCTTGTTATGAGCCTGTTATTCACAATAAATTTTAACTGATAAGTTAACAGGCTGTTATGGAGACTTTTATTTTTGCAGAGTCTGCAGCCAGAGACTGGACTAACCATAACCAGAGTAAAATAAAATTTATGGCAGTAATAAATAGAGCTTGTAATTCCCACCCACTGCAAATAAATTCTTATACTTTCAAAGGCATTGCTCAGCTTACATATCTCACCACTATCATCTCTAATGATAGTAGTATTAAACTTGAAATTGACAATAGATTATTTAGAGCTAATAGATGTTCTGATGGTTTAAACAATTTTTTAATTCTAAATTATTAAACTTCAAGACAAAAGTAAAGCTTTACATAACTCTTGTTAAACCTATCGTATTGTATGGTAGTGAATGTTGGCCATTAACAAAAGCTGATGAATAAAGACTTCTAGTCTTTGAAAGAAAAATGTCCAAAAAATGTATAGCTGAGTTAGAGAAAATATTAGATGGATACATTTGTTTAACCGTGAAATCTGTAGATGATACAAACAACCTAATATTATCTGAGTCATCAAATCTTATCGTGTAAAAAAAGTGACCTTTGCTAGTGTATGGATAGACTGTGTAAAGACAGATCTGAAGAATTTTGAAAATCAATCATTGATGGATTCTAGCAACTGGTCTATTGGAGGAAACATGTTGAGATGGCCTTGGTCTGCAATAGGCTGTAGTGCAACTGAAAAAGATGAAATTTTAACTGATGAAGATTTAGTACACAGCTGTGAGAGTTTGAAAAATTCAAGAAAGTTCTAGAAGCTATCTACACTAATTGGAAAGCAACACAGGCTCTGTTTTTATTAATACTGATTATGAACACTGCTTAATATTGAAGAGACTGAAATGCAGTTCAAATTAATGTGCATGACTTTAGTTTGAATATATTTATCAAAAGTTTCTAATAATTATTCCACTAACAATAAGTTCCGAAGGTAAATTACTCCTACTCTCATAAAATTGGGACTCATAAAATTCAGACTTTTCTTTAAAAATGCCTTTCCAAAAAATGTTAAGTTCATATTGGTCTTAAATCTGAAATGTAAATGAATAAATATTGCTTATTGAATGTTAACAGATGCTCATTCTTCACTTCATGTGGTAATGATTTTTAAAGTAGTGTAAATTATTAAAGTGGTGGCAAATTATTATTATATTCATCTGATGTTTCAAAAACATTTCAAGATTAAATTTTGTTTTTAGATTCTCATTTCTTAAGAAATATAGTACTTGGAAATTAGTTGTAGAATCAACTCTTTAAACTCCATGCAATTTATAAATCCAATGATAACTATTATGAATGGTGAGATTTTTCATTTTGTATTGAAAATTCCTAATTTAACTATTGATTTTTGTTCTGATTATTGTTATAGTAGATTGTATATTGGTATAATTACACTGGTGTGCAAAAATTAAGGACGAGACGGTTTTTTCAATATAACTTTGTACAAAAGCTTTCCAAATCAACACATTTAATACCGTAAGATCCCCAATACGTAAGGACATGAGTAATGTAAGCAGCATTTACTAAAAGAGAAATTAGAGGGATAAAAAGAAGCTTTATTGAAAAAGTAGCATGGAGCGCAATGCGACTGAAGGCCGAAACATCCCTGTGATGGGTGTCCAGCAAGAAACATCCGGTCTTTAATAGGGGATATGATCTCCCCTGACTGCTAGGCAGGTTTCACAGCGTCTGCCCATGCTGAGAATGAGGGTGTCAATGAGTTATTGAGGCATTGCAGCCCATTCGTCTTGCAGCGTCAGTCGAAGCTCCGGAATCGTTACTGGTGGTATGGTACGAGCTGCCAAGCGTCTGCCTAGGAAATCCCATACATGCTCGATGGGATTGAGATCCGGAGATTGTGCCGGCCAATCCATACGTTCAATATCCTCACTCTCAATGAGCTGTTCGGCAGCTACTGTGCGATGACATGGTGCATTGTCGTCCATGAAAAGGAACTGCAGACCCATAGCGCCTCTAAAAAGATGCACATATGGAAGAAGAATCTCGTTACAATAACGGGTCCTGTTGACTGAACCTGCGTTGAAGATGTGAAGGTCTGTACGACTGCCAAGCATGATGCCTCCCCAAACGAGAACACCGCCACCTCCATACCTGTCCCTTTCAATGATGTTCGAGGGATGATTGCGGCTTCCCCGCTCTCTCCAGATGAGTATGCGATGAGAATCGATACTCAGACTGAATCTGCTCTCATCTGTAAAGAGTACTCGTCCCCATTCATGGTCTCTCCAATTCCGGTGTTCCCTGCACCACAGAGAACGCCTTCTCCGATGGGCAGGCGTTAGAGGTACACACCATACAGGGCGTCGTGCAAACAGACCACCACCGTGCAGTCTTCTGCCCATGGTAAAACGCGATATCGGTCATCCAGTCACCTGTGTCGTGTGTCTAGCGATTTCTCCCGCTGTCTGCCGCCTGTTTCTTCTGGCCTGTAAGGCAATATACCGGTCATCTGCGGGTGTGGTTCCTCGTGAACGACCACTACTAAACCCTCGGATAGCTGTTCCTGTAGTTTGAAATTGTCTCCAAAGTCGTGAACGATGCTGTGAGCAATTCCGAACTCTGCAGCCACACTTGTCACACTGCGGCCTTCTTCCAACTTCCCAATGATTCGGCCTCGGGTAAAAGCATCCAAATGTCGTCTAACAGATTGATTATTCGCCATTTCTCGCTGAGGCAGCAACTCGGTGTGATTTTAACTGCTATCCGGCGTGCAATCTCTTTGCCAGATATACTGATCTTACACTGACAACATGCTTCATACTACTCAGACTATCCCCCATTACGTCTACCTGCATATCTGCGCATGTGCTACCGTACATCACCTTACTTAATCTCCTGATTGGTCTTTCTGTCCGCTCTGCCTCTTTGTTCAGCTGATATGTTAATATTTCGACTTCATCCTTAATTTTTGCACACCAGTGTACATGTTAGTAATCTTAAATATTAAAAAAAGATGGTAATAAAAATGCTCAGAAGTAAAATATGTTTGAATGGATTGCATTTTCTTATGATTTATATCAATAAACAAACACAAATTAAATTTTGGTACAAATTAAATTTTGAAAACAAAATTTAATTTGTTTTAAGTTAAGATCTTTTATTTGGAATTACTTTAGTTTTTTTATTTAATACTGTGTTTATGATTTCAGATATGGATAGGAGGAGAAATACGTGCATTAGAGCATTTGGAAGAACGCTTAAAAATAGAAAAAATTGCATTCAGCTCTGGATACTTTATGCCGAATCAGATAAACCCTGATCTTCTTGGACCACCCATGTCTATGAGTGCTGCATTAAGTAATGGTTGTTTATCTGTTAGACGGTAAGTTTTTATATATAATACTATAGGAAAAAGTCTTATTTACTTATTAAAGTAGCTATTACATTTCATCATCAAAATTAGCAAATATAATGCCCAAGTTTGTAAAGTGCAAATTTCAAATGTCACCAGAGGCTTATACAGTGGCCTTTTTTAACAAAGGTATTTTGAAAAAAAAAATTGATAATAAATAATAAAGCTTTCCTTTTAATCAACTGAATTTTTGTTAAAAAGTGGTAATATATTAGGCATAATATTATATATAATATTTTATATCTTTTATCAGGTAGTTTTCCGAGCTTTTCTCTGACTTCTTTATATATAATTATTATTGTATTTCTTTTTTTGGTTTTAATTTTTAAATTTTTTAAAAATATTATTTATTTTTATTCTTGGAAATTATTATTTCCTTCCTGTATGTATGTGAAAAACAGTTTAAAAAAGTTTTAAGAAATTTTACTTCCTGAATGAAACAGTTGAAGTTAGTGAGTAGTGTATTGTCAGAATGTGTATCTGTGATATCACACCATGGATGGTTGATATCACCATTCTTTTTTAACTATAGCAAGAATAGTTCCCCATGTAATATGTATGTAATATTATTGGATTTGAAATGGTTCCCATAAAGCAATGTCATTGAATAGAATTTAACATATAAAATGTGACAACACTGGAATAAGATACATGTTGTTCTGGATTGTATCTGGTCAACTTTTGTGTATTTTCTCATATGATATTTGAGTTTTTGGGTTAGCAGTTCAGAAACTGTGACAAATCATCTTAATGAAGGTCAAAGAAATGGATCCAGGACTTCTTCTGGCAACTCTATGAATGCTATAAAATATGTAGCTGTTGAAAGGGATTGTTATGAAAGAAATATATTTCACATTGTTTTCTTCTTAACTGTTTTTCTAAAATAAACTAATTCCAATGATGTTTTGAAGCTGAATTGTATGTAATGCAAAACATTTTATTAAAAGATACCATAAAATAATTATAATGATTTGCATCATATCTAAACTTCTTATAAGTAACAGTTCTAAGAGTTATTTTTGCTGCATTATTTGGATAATAAATTGCCACATTTTGATGTATTTACATATGTTATCATTACAATTGAAGAAGTGCACTTCCATTGAAATATTGTTTGTTTTCCAAAGCCAGTTGTGCTCAGAATTAGTGCAAAAGAGGTGCTTATATATTTTCCAAAATTAGCACATATCCCTCTAAACTTGTGCCAGTAATTTTGGTGGAAGTTTGAAGGAGCAGATAATTTTTTTCTAGTTAGTTAACAAAATAACTTAAATAAATATGATGTCAGATTTTAAGATCATCTGACAAAATTTATTAACATTTGTGCCAGTCATTCTTCAAATCCAAAAATCCTTATAGGCATTTAAAATAATTACAAAATTTTCTTCTTATTGTAAACTCAGCACCACATAAATTCACCTAAATACGAATCTGGGTGGTATCATGTTGTGTTTTTTATTCTGCCATTTTGCATTTTGACAGTTTTTTAATATTTTGTATATTCACACCTGTATAACCAGATCCATAATTTTGAAAATACCACTCTGCATGCTGTTTTGTTGAAGGCAGATGAGAAAAAATGAGAAATAGATGTTAACTTTTATTATTCTATAGAAAAATTAAACCGGCTTTTTGAGGAATGGTTTGCTAACAGATTTTGTTTGCCAAAAATGGTCAACAGGGAATGTTGGATTGGAATTTTTTTTGTGTAAAACATTTGTAAATAGTTACAGTTATTCCGTTTTTAAAACTTGCTAGCACATTTTTAGATATTAGATAGTTGATGATATTTGTATGAATTATTTAATTATGACAAAGCACTGTAAGGCTATCTGCTTTTAACAGAGGGAGATCTTTCTGAAGGACTTTTTTAAATGAAAGTGCTCTCAGTTTTTATTATAAATGAGGTAAAAGGTCAAAACCATCATGCAACTAACTTGTTTAACTGATTGTAGTAGAACTTAATTTGAACTGTCAACATTTTATGGCTTCACTGCTTTTCTTAGATGGTTTGCATTAAAGTTTGAGTTAAAAATGTTTTTAGTTTTATCAAAGAGATTTACTATCATTCTAATGTATTTTTGAATTTTTTAAGAAAAAGCTTTGAAATATATTTACAAAAGCATTCTTATTGCTAAAAAGCATAATTATTTTGATCTCACTTAATATTTTAAACAAAAATAGCTTCAGATTTCTTTGAAGCCATAGTCATTCAAAAGTGAGTTATTGTTTATCAAAATTCTTTAGTGGTACTTTTCTATGAATACTTTTCTCTAGTTGTTTTGATGTTACAGTAATAATGAAGATTTTCACAAATGTTGGATTTTTAGAAGCCATCATAATTGTTCTAAAGTCATTAACTTAATGCTCAGTGTTTTTCTTTATTTATTAATTACTGTGAATTATTACTGTAAATTATTAAATAGAGTCAAACTGTGGTTTAGTACTTTCCAACAGACTAAAGAAAACTATCACTAAATCAAGATATCATTAAATCAAGGATTATTCTCTTCTGAGCATAATATAAATTATCAAATGCTAAATTATTTGTTTGTACTTATCACTCTAAGTTCTTTTACATTTTAAGCAGACACAGTGGACATTTTAAACAAATATATTGTCAATTTCATCTTTATTTTACTTGAGCATCAGCTATTGGTTTATAAAAAATGGTGAATGAGATAATATTCATCAATTTTATATATGTACATATACATGTATATATATATATATATATATATATATATATATTTTAAATAAAGTTATTAAAAGTGAATTAAAAAGCCCATGACTTGTGCTAAAGCTGCAAAGTAATAAACCAATAATTCATAATAATTTATAATAAGAAAACTTTCCATATATCATCTCCATGGAACACAAATTTAAAACCATCAATGGAAATATTTTTTTAGAATTTAAATTAGTATTTTAAATAATTTCAATTATTTGTTTAAAAATCTGCTAAGAAAAATCTTTAATCACAAAAACACCAAAACCAAAAGTAAATTTTAAATATTGAGAAAGTAACTACTGTCATTGATCACAGATTAATCGACGTATAAAGGGATAAACCAATCTACCATCAACAAACAATAACAATATATATATATATATATATATATATATATATATATGTTACATAAACAACAAAAAAAATTATAAAGAAAAATATAAAATCATTTAAAAAATTTACATAGCTGCTGAAAATTGATTGGTAAATGCATAAAGAAAGAAATTTAGAACGAATTTTTCACAAACACCAAAAATTGAATTCATATGCAAAGTAAAAGTTTATTTTGTTTTATTTTGCATCTCCACTTGTTGCTGATATCAGCACACAATTAGATTCACTTTTTTTAAATTTTACTATATTTCCCATCATATATATTGCATTATAAAATTTCATTTGTACCAGAGAGACTTTCATTATAAAATTGCTCACACCATCACTTTTAGAATTACATAGTTCCACAACCACTTTGCATTTACTGTCAACTTTGTAGTATTGTAAATTTTTTTTGTGGTTTGCAATGTGAATTGAATTTTAGGTAATTTTTAGAACTAGAATGTGCTGTCACCAATGCATACACCATTCGTATTCAGTCTACATTTCTTGAATGCTTCTTGAAAAGGAAGTGATAAGAATATTTTATGAGAAAAAGTTCAGAATAGAGATGGAGGAAAATTCTGTGTGATATATAAAAAGATATTAATTTTATAAAACATAATTGTTAAATCAAGGAAATAAATAAGAACGCTTGGAATTCATAGTTATGTTCTTATATGTCAAGTGTTCAGAGATTTTTCTTACTTGCTGATTTAATAATGTAGTTCTAATGTGTGATGATAATGACTGAAAAGATACAATTTTTTAGATTTTATTGGAGTCTTTCTGATCTGTATAAAAGTGTCAACTCTGATTCCTGTTTACCTGATGGACTATTACCAGATGGTTTGATGGGTCAACTTATATGGAGAGAATATTTCTATGCTATGTGTATGAATAATGCACATTATAGTTCAATGCTAGATAATCCTATTTGTTTAAATATTCCATGGTAAGTGCTGATATTTTCTTAAAGGGCACTGCAACTATATAACACGTTTCTATAACTGAATATTTTCTCCAGTTTTTAGTTTCCTTTTTCGCCATTTGTCTTTTGAACTTTTCTGAAGCTTTCTCTAATTTACTTATAACTGCAGTTATACACAATTATAATGTATGAAAAAATAAAATATGTATGTATATGAGCATTTAAAAGTCTGCTAAACTAATTCTAATTTATTTAAACAGGAAAAGATTTTGAAAACTTTGTTTTAGTCTTTTATAATTTTTAGTTCTTTTTATTTTATTTATTTTTTAATCTTTAATTTTTTTATGCATTCTAGCTTGTGCAGCCTGGGCCCTTTATAATGAGAATACTTTGCAATAATTTCATTCATAACCAGTTACCATACAATAAGGAAAATGTTGTTTGAAAGAAAATTAATTTGTTGAATGTTTGGTATGGTGGTAAGTAGCTGGTTAACACCTTATGGTGGTAAGTAGCTGGTTAACACCTTGAGAGAGAAAATAATCTATTGATTAATTTTTTGTATAAAATTAAATACAATTTATATTTCGTAATTTGAATGGAAATTTGATCAAATTAAAATGTCAGTGTAAGAAAAAGTGGCATAAACAGTTTCTAAAGCTAAAGTTCAATAAGCCACAGATGATCTTGATGCTATTATTTTACATCTTCAGTTTTTTTAGTAACATTGTATAAATAATACATATATGCACATGTGGAAAAAATATTTATTTCAGTAATATAATAGTTTCATTGCTAGTTTTCATACTTATCCAAAGAGGATATCAATCTCATCAGTGCCACTATCAACCTTTTATTCTTTTCTTTTTTTTTTTTTTTTTTTTTTTTCTTTTTTTTTTTTTTTTAGTGAAAACCACTTAATTTCATTTCCTGTAATTTTTAGTGGTTTTGTCAATTTTTTAAAACAATTTTGGGGTTACTTTAAGGCGTTTATGGTAATTTGCTATTAGGCTGAAGCAGATAGGTATAATCATACATATAATAATTTCGCAGTTCTGATATCTTATCCAAAGATCCTTGAAATATACAAGACTTCAGAATTCGAACCTTTGTAGGTTAGTAGCACTTGATCCATGTTATGTAGGAAAATGAGAATTCTGCCATGCACCACGAAAAGAGAATTTGAAGCCAAAGATCTTGAAACAGCAAGATGTAACAAATTTAAAAATGTGTATGGTTTAATTAATTTGTTGAGTGTTTGGTAGGTAATAAACACCCTAAAAGTGTGTGTTATAAATATAAAAAATCTGTGAAATTTTGGTTATTGCTTGCTTTGCTCTAATCATACGTATGAATTTTGAATTAAAGTTTTCCTTCATGGGAAATGCATCGTTTCTATTTTGAGGGGATCGTTATAAAATTTTTATGGTTGTTGGTATTTGAAATTCAGAATACACAATTTATTTTGGTTAAAAAAGTGATTTTATTTCATTAATAAAGTTTGTCTTTTTCTGTGAGTACAGAAGCATTTCTTATTATTATACCATACCCACTGCTTATTAAAATCACTTCCGTTCAAAACATACTTGAGTTTATAAAGCGGCTGAGTTTAATACAATGCAATTTGTATATTGCCAATCATGATATCAGTTTCAAACATTTCAAGAAAAATAATAATTAAAAATTAATTGACTGATTAATCCTGAAATAATATTTAAAAGTTATTCCTAAAAGTAAATGATTTACAGTTTTGAAATTCATGAATAAATTTTTATATTTGCATTTGTTATGAATATCTCTTAGAATAAGAACTATTTTATTTGTCTCGCACTGTTCTATAGCAGTTTTCAATTGCATTCAGAATTCCCTAAGACTACTGGTAGCTTTTTGATCAGTGTCTTTCAGTTCGGGAGTTTTCCTTAGAATTTGCAGTGCTTCTGTAGATTTTATTGGTGATGGCATGTCATCAGTTTTTCTGTATCATTTTCGTTGCCAGTTTCTGCAATTCTTTTTCACTTTCATTATAAGTTTTTATACAGGTTACTTCAATATTGTTAAGAATTGATACGTATTCTAAAAATGAAACTACATAACTTCCCTTATTGATGTCAGAAACAATAGCTCTTCTTCGCAGTTCCTATGAGACTTCTACATAAAAGCCACATTTTTAAAACAGTTTTTAACTAATTTAAGATTATAAACTATAATATGTTTTGGGCTTTGGCAGAATTATCAACTTACTTATTTCTTTTGAGGTGCTTACATTTTCACAAAATCGAGTTCTGTTTTTCATTTTCTGAACATTTTTTCTGTAATGACATTTAAAAGCTTTTTAATAAATACCCTAAGATGTATTCCTGGTGTTTGAAATTTCATAATGATGATTTCTGATTCATGTTCACCATGTACTTCATGAAACTAACCATCTTGCAGGTAAGTGATTGTTGCTAAATTATTTACAGTGGTTTATATAGTATGTGCTGTGCTTTATATGTGCTGTGTAAGCACATTGCAAATGGTATCCTCTTTTCTTCATTTTCGGTTCAAGAGGGTTTAAAAAAAAAAAAAAATTCTGATAGAGGGGCTTTTTGTATGCAAAAGTATATATATATATATGGATTTTTTGCTAGATTTGTGTAGCGTTTTTAAAAATATTATTTATTTAGATATTGACTTCTGGGAATTGCATTTATTATATAAAATTATATAATTTTTTTATTATTAGGGCAACTAATCCATCTATGCTTGAATGCTGGACTGATGGCAAAACAGGTTTTCCATTCATTGATGCTGCAATGAGACAGCTTCGGCAAGAAGGTTGGATACACCATGTTGCTCGGAATGCTGTTGCTTGCTTTCTTACTAGAGGAGACCTCTGGATATCTTGGGAAGAAGGGCTTAAAGTAGGTCTTACATATTCATTTCCTTATACCATAGCATTCTAAGTATAAATGCATACTTTTATGCATTTCATTAAGATGCACTCTATCAGGGTTCGTAGCGGCCCTTACAAGTGCTTATAAGTTTTTATATTTGAAAATAAAATATAAAAGCCCTTATAGGTGCTTACTTTTTCTTTAAAGCCCTTATTTTTTTGTTTTTTTTGTTTGTTTGTTTTCAGTGCTTATTTTTTGCTTTTAGTGCTTTTTTTTTTTAATGCCTTTTTTTAATGAACGCGCATTTTTTCCCCGCACCAAAGCTAAAACTAAATAAACAACTTTTCTTCCTTATATGCAACGTCAGATGGTGAATCATACTCCCGGAAATTGCTTTCCCCCTTTCTCTGCATTGACGTACCTATGGTGTGCACGAGAGTACAGACAGTTGCACATCGTTCTATTGGTCAAAGAATTGCGAAAACGGTAGAAAATTCCGGTACATTCGGTATTCTTTTCCTCCCACCCAAATACTATATTTATTTCCTCCCACCCAAATAATACAACATAAACACACGTTTGAATTTCTGTCAAGATTTTAATAATTTGCATTCTCGTTCTGCGTGGTCAGTTCATATTCGTGTTTATTATGATCATTATGCTTGTATTATGAGTACATGTATGAATATTTATAATAATAGAGTTACAGTAACTGCTGAAGTATAGATAAACTACCAAAAATAGGTATGTTTTTACACACGTTAGCTTTCTAAGGAATAATATTTGGAATGGCTTACATAAAGGAAAAGTAATCGAATAGACAAAATATTTTTTTTTTTTCAATACATTATACAGTTCGGAGGTTGGGAGTTCCTCCCCTTTCTCCGCAAAATCTCTAATATTGAAGCAGCGGACTTTTTTTTGGTCACTGCCCAATCTGTATTAAATAGGACTAAAAGTTTTGCGGTCTACCCAACCCAAGCGGAGATTGATTCTGTTCCGGAAATTTAACGCAGTCTGTTGAAAATTAGAATCAAAAACACCCCAGATTAGTCTCTTTCTTTTCCTTTATTTAGTTCTTTATTCTTCCAATACCGGCAGTTGTTGATTCCGATTGTGTAATATCGCATATGGAAGAATTATGCCGCACGTATTGCACAATAACATTTGCGGTATTTTGCAGAGATAATTAATTTTGATGTTCAGTCTGAGATTTGTTTATGAACACTTAAGAGTTTTACTGTGCTTTCTAAGCAGAATATTTCTCAGTTCCGTTGGCCTATTTTTATATGATGCACATATCGGAATGTCAAAATCATTTATTTAGCCGAGAAATCTTAAGAATGGCTACAATCTCCCTGACTCCTCTTTTTCCAGTTACTATCTGGAATATTCCGCAGTTTCCGAATATGCGGGTTAGTTAAGCTTTTACTGTTAAAGGATGACTGCATAAAGCAATTTCCCGTCTTCTTATTTCAGAAATGTGCCTCTTTTTTACTTAAATTACTTTGCTTGGAATATATGTTAAGGGAAAACTGTTATGCAATGAAAATTTAGAAAATGTTCAGAATTTGGTTTAAGTTAAATTATTTAAATATTAATATGAGTGGAAAAATAAATTGTATTTATTTTTAATAGTTTTTTTTTTGTTTCATTGTAAACTAATTCTGTAAATTGAACTGTCATTTAAAATTTAAAAAAAAGTTAATTGTTTTCCATGGTTGAGGTAATGCTCATTCTCTTAATAAATATTGCATTCCTCATATTTTAAATTACAAGTCTAATTTTTCCTTTAAGGTTATGCAGTTGTGTATAATGTAATTAGACAGGTGCTTATTTTTTCCTTAAAATGTGCTGGAAAAGTGCTTATAGGTGCTTTTTTTTTTTTAACTAAAATGTGGCTACGAACCCTGTCTATGTTTTGTATTATTTTATTATAAATTTTCTATTTAGTAACTATTTTGTTTAAAATGTAGTAACATGACAAACTTACAATGAAAGTTTTCATGTATATTTAAATTTTGTGAAGTTCTAAATTGGAGTAAAACTAATTGAAATCCTTATTCCTTATATCTATATATTACCTTAATTTAACAGAAATACTTGGTATCATTCAAACAAGGAATAATATTGATTTACTTTGAGAACTTTCTTTGAATTGCTGTAGCTCATCTGCAAATGTCGAAGAATTTTAAGTGCTCTAAGGGTAGTGTTGGTATCATAGCATTGTTAATCTCATCGATAACTCTGGACTAAAATTAATGAAATATCTAAACGCTATTGAGGAAATAATAAATTTAATTAATGGGGTCCACAAGTAGAATTTATTTTGGGGGGGATATGGGTTGTTACAAATGTACCTTCTAATTAAGCAAGCTTGTGATATTTTTTTACAAAGGAAAAAAACTGTGTATGTGATTATAACTTTGGAAGTATGAGCATGATATGATGATGTTGTTTTACACAAAGGCTAATTAAATGATCTATATATCATATCATGAAGTAAAACTAAGTAATTATACTCTAATACAAAATTTAAAGGATAATTGCTTAACTATTTTAATTTTTTTTTAATGTTGGAGTGAACAGATAAAATGCATATAATTCAAATGAGAATTTTAAGATAAAAGGTTGTATTGTTAGATTAGTACAGTACTCTAGTTCAGTGTTTTAAATTCATTTACTGAAAACTTTTTTTTATATTTTTTCTTTACAAAAATGGTTGGAAATAGCTAATATTAAACTTCTTGCTATTAGTGTAATGTTACAAACTGTGTTAAAAATGTTTAAGGCTTTAATATGATTCTGAAAAAATTTATAAGCTTTAATGTGATTCTGTTCTTACCCTTTTTTTTAAAATAAACCTTTTAAAGTACATTTATATATTTGATACCTTGCAAACATTCACATACTAACAAAAAGTAATTAAAGGTTCGATTGTTGTTTGAATGTATGAAAAATTTTTATGAAACCTGAAATTTCCAAAGCATTCATTAGTTATAACATCAGTTGTTTAAATCATTGTTTTTTTTTTATTTTTATGAAATGGCAAAATCCATTTAGAACATCAAATTATTCATATAAACATTAAGCTTATAAATATCTGCTAAGCAACTACCAAAAAATCTTTTTTTTTTTTTTTTACTTTTTTTTATTTATTTATTTTATTATTATTATTATTATTATTATTATTTTTTTTTTGTGTGTGTGTGTGTGTGTTAAAAAAAATTATTTATTTGTGTAAAAAAATTCTTTATTTACACAAAATTAATTATATCAATAAATGAGGTACATGAAGCTTATGAGTGTTACAAATTACCAGTGAAGGTGTTAAAATAAGTGCAGAATTTATTGAATGCAGAGCTGTAGAGATTTGGTTGCAGCATTCTTAAAAGTAATAAAGTAATTCTTATAAAAAATTTAAATGCATCTTTTTAGTGCAAAGGCCATTAAATGCTGGAAGAAAATTATCACATTGGAATTTCAGGAATAAGATTTTGTTCTGATGTTTTATTTTATGTGCATGTTTTTCAGGTATTCATGAAATATCTCATAGACGGTGATGCACCTGTTTGTGCTGGAAACTGGATGTGGGTTTCCAGTTCAGCTTTTGAAAATGTTCTTCAGTGTCCTTCATGTATTTCCCCTATTTTGTATGGGCGTCGTTTTGAGCCTTCTGGAAAATACATAAGGTAATTAGTGTATCATTATGTCCAAATATTTTATTTTTTCAAAATTTGATGCTAAATTTATTTCATTTTTTAAATTTGAATATTATTCACAATTTCAGTGGGAACTTTCCTGGTACATTAAAGAAATAATCTAATTATATTTTTATTGCATTCAGTATTAGTTGTTTGTTCACCAAGTTAGACTGTGTACTTATCATATGAATTGTGATTAATTAAATTAGTTTTTGGTACCTTAGTAATTAGTAGTTAACACATAATCTTTGCTAAATAGACTTCAAATTACTAGAGCATTTTTGAATACTTCATTAAGTAGAAAAAACTTGTATATCCAATGCAAACTTTGAGTGTATTTTTTCTTTCAATTTCCCTGTAAAATAACTATTGAGCTTGTGATTGCTAACAAATAGCAAGTAAACTTATTTATTTTTAGCTACTAATAAATATTGTCTTATGCTATTATTTTAAAGTTTCTTTTAGGAATATTTTTCATATAATCCACATCTAAAATACAAAAAGAAATGTTGATATACCTTCAAGCTACTTTATTGATTTGGTAAAAGTTTACAATTGGGTGCCCCTTGTATATTGGCGATTCTTTTTTGATGCCAAGATCGGCGCCAGGAAGGCACAATTTCAAGATGGCCGCTACACAAAACCAGAATAAGAAGTCAAAGAATTGCACAAGATCTATGTCCATGTACACATCGATCTGTTTTTACTTAAAAAAACATCCTAGAATTGCACAAACTAGGCATTGCGCACTGCCTTAAATATTCCATGTACACATCAATCTATTTTCATTTAAATAAAATCAGGAAGCTAAAACAAAGTTAAAACTATCGTGGTAACCAGAAGTGAGGTTTCATCGGCAAAATTTGAAAAAAATTGTTGAAAATCAAAGAGGCGCACCCAATTCTACACTAGAGCCATTGATTTTTCCATATTTTTGTTTTGGTAGCTAATGAGATGCTTTTCTCTGTACCTTATTTTAATAATTTAAAAAACACTAGTGTGACTTGTGAGTTATTGAAAGAAGATAAAAGCAAATTATTACTAAATAGATTAAATTTGTATAGAGGTTGGCAGTTTATTATTATTATTATTTTAAAATTTATTAAATGCTCAACAATGTAGTTTTAAGGTGACACAGCCCTAATGAATAGGAACCAATAATACGGTCATTTCAAATTGATATATAAGATTTAGTTAACAAATGGTTTGGATATGGATTCCATTATCTGTAAAAAAAATTATTCCAAGCAAATGCTGAACAATATTTGTTTAATAAACAAGCTTCACTTCATAGGATGTCAATATTTGATTATGATTAAAAATATAAATGAATAGAGATAATAGCAGAACTTGAATATGATTTAAAAATATATATTATTAGAGATAATATCAGAACCTTATCTGAGCCCACCATAACTTTTGAGTGATTTGTTTCAAGTTAAAACTGATGCAATGTACAAGCATAAATAACCAAACTTATTTCTATGTCAGTGGCATAGCTAGATGGGGCTGGCATATTTTGGGGGATGCCGCGTTTAGTGTGAAACATTATGTTAGTCATGTGGATCATTAAGGCCCATAAATAACAAGAATATTCTGAATCGTCATACGGAATTGTGAAAAAATAGTTTTTACTCTATATAATGTATTCAAAGAAATCGCCTCAAGACTGCAACAGCCAGTGACATTGTAAGCATTATGGGTCCCAGGGCAAACCAACTTGCTGGGACTCCTACAACTATGACTCACAGAATGAAATGTAAATGATGAACATGGAGTTCCTATGCTGATGGGGCCCCTAGGCAAGTCCTACTGGATCCATGCATAATGACAACCATGGCAACAGCTACATCTCTTGTTATAACGTCTTTATTATGTAGAAATTTTTGAATCAACATAACAAATATTAAATAAATTCTGATCACAATGACATTAATAAGGCAGAATTCCTCTTTAAGAGAAAAATATTTCAGAGTTTTACTTTCACTATTGCTAAAGTAAACGAAATATGAATGATGAAGAACGGTCATTTTGAATTTTGCAGCTTATTCTAAAATACTATCTCCACAATAAAATTCTGAATATTGTAATACTATTGCAGACTTTCCATACAGCAACTAGAGCAATCAAGTATATCCCTATTATGTCATTCATAATTTTGACCCTTCCCCCCCCCCAAAAAAAAATTAAAAATAATAAAAAAAAGTTGGAACTAAAATTTTTCTTCAAAAATAGGTATAGAATTTAAACTTATTTTTCTGTGTGCCGTTTTAAAATTTTTTAGCTATTTGGCTTTATATTGAGAGGGTGGTAAATTCAGAAACTGTCCCAAGCAGCAGAATCAGGGACCACCCCAGGCAGGAAAAGTTCTAGCTATGCCACTCTTCCAGGTGAACTTCCATTTTGTGTTAATTTTGAAATACATTCCAGATTCTTCTAAATTAAGTTCTACAGTACCTGTTTTCAGTGTTATTAACATCATAATATCAGAGATCTGAAATAGTCTGTAGTTATCTTCGATGTGATTTGTGAAATTTTGTATTTCTGCAAACAAAAAATTTTTTGACTGTATTATAGAGAATTTTTAAGGAAATAGTTACAATTATATGTTTTCTCTGATGCCAGTTGCAGAAATGTAAATGTAACTATTGGCATTTCATTAATAAATGTTATGATTTTAAAGATTTTTTTTTAACATTTAAATTGTTATTCAAACATTGTGAAGTGGGAAACTAAATAAACAATGCACTACTTGAAAACTGTATTCTGTGCATATTATTAATCAAGTGATGATTTGTGTATTCATTGTTGTAGTTCTGAAGATAAGCACTGAATAATTTTTAATTATAGAAAATTGTTGTAATAACTGTATTCAATGTTTTTCTGTGGTAATAAGTATTAAATATAAAATTAATTTATTTTCATAGAAAGTATGTACCAGAGCTGAAAAATATGCCTCACCAATTTCTTTTTGAACCGTGGCTTGCACCACTATCAGTTCAAGAAGTTGCTAACTGTATTATTGGGAAGGATTATCCATTTCCGATAGTTAATCACCAGCAAGCTTCTAAAAGAAATGCAGATATGATGACTGCTATTAAAGAGAGTTTTCTTCCCAAATCGGTGCCCCTTCATTGTGCTCCAAGCAATTCAGCTGAGACTCGTGTCTTTATGTGGTTGCCAGAAAAATGTGTTGAGAACCTTCTGACTTGTGATAATTAATTCAGATTTTACACATTGTATTTGATACTGATCTCTTTAAAATATATATTTGTATTCTTAATATTTAATTGTTTGCTTTTTAAGTGTCTGAATGGAAAATTTTCATGACTATGGAATTTTTTAAAAATTTTTTTAATTTTCTCCCACAGATGTGGTGAGCATTCCTAAAGTATTTTAATGAAATTTTAAAAGAAAGAAATATTTATAAATGACTATTTTATTAAAAATCAAGGATTTTTTGGTATTAGTATTGCATATGTGCCTTTTAATAGGAATTTGTAATTGAAAAATCGGAAAAGTATACATATTAATACTTATTTGTAATAGATTATGATAATAGGAAGCAAAGGAAACATTTTTGTGTATTTTCATATAATTGAAAGATTAGTAATATATTATACTTCCTAGAGGAAAATATGATGCATCAAATTTAAAGAGAGAGCTGCTATAAGAAACCGTTTTTCATTAGTAGCTTCTACTGAAACTTAAGTGCATTCTTCTGAAAGAAATGCTTAAGAATCCTTATACATTTTTAACATTATTTTTACTGACTTGGAACTGAGTATATAGTGGTTAAAAACATTAGAATTAATTTTTAGATTCTGTAATCATTAGAAACTGATTTGATAAAGTTATTATTGTGGCAGAAACTGGGGATTTTGGTATCATGACGAAGATAGGATGGGATTATAAAGTAGGTTTTGGATATTTCACTTGATGGGCATAGTTTTTGAAATGTTTCTTGTGTGTATGTATGAAATATAAAGACTGTTTTATTATAAATGTTTAAATACTTTCTAACCAACAGTTTGAGAAATCCAGAGTTATGGATATGTTGAGCTGCTCCAAGGTTCCACCTTTCTGTTCAGTGTTTTGAAAAAAATATAGAAATATGTCACATGACATTGAAATCCTTATTTAGGATATAACTGTATATATTACATGGTAACTTTATATAATACATTGTTCCTTACCATTAAGTACGTGGTATGCATTGTGAGCTCTTCCAAGGTTATGTTTCTGTGTTGGAAAATTTATAGAAATATGTTACATGTCATTAAAATTCTTATTTAGCATATAACTGTATATTGGCTTTATATTAAGTACATGGTACACATTGCAGGAGTGTACAAATCATATTGGCCTAGATGCAAGATCATTTTGTAAGTACATGGTACGCTTTGCGAGCTCTTCCAAGGTTATGTTTCTGTTTTGGAAAATTTATAGAAATATGTTACATGCCATTAAAATTCTTATTTAGGATATAAGTGTATATTGGCTTTATATTAAGTACATGGTACACATTTCAGGAGTGTGCAGATCATATTGGCTCTGATGCAAGATCATTTCATTTATGAAATAATTCTGCATTTTTTATGGTATTTTAACCCGCCCTCCAAATCAAAAAAAAAAGGGGGGGGAGAGAGAGAAAACTGCATGTAAAATGATCTGTCATAATATGAACTTAAACAATTGAAGTGTTTTCAAAGACAGACTATTAAATGATATAAATATTATAAACTTGGGATCAAATTAAAACTTTTCTTTTAATACAAAATTTATTAATTTAATCTATTTAGATTTTTTAAATGGGATATTTTCTTATTTGTTGAAGATATTAAAATTATCTGCAGATTACATTATGTAAAGTATTTTTGAGGAGGCAAATGCAAGTATTTCTTCTTGTTGTTCTCATTATTCATGAATAGTTTTATTTAACAGGAAGGGGGGTTTTATTTAACAGGATATTTAAAGAAAATTAAGGGGGGTAATCTAAAGGTTTTAAAATGATATTTTTTCCAAAATGTATTTAGGACAGATAATGCAGATTCCTTCCCCCCCTCCCACGTTGTCAGGTAGATATTCCAGTTAATGTAATGCTATTTGTGAATTCTGAATAAATCAAAGAGTAATGCTTGTTGAATTTTCATTTCAAATATTGCTACTGATTTTTCAAGTACTATATTTTTATGCATAAAATATTATTGCTCCTTATCATAGAATAAAAAATTATCCCTTTCAGCTCAAAATTTTAATGCTAAAAATTAAATTAAAATTATAACTTCCAAAATCTGGTTTTTAGAATAATTATTCTAAGTAAATTCTCAGTTATTTGATTAAAGTCTGAGCTTATAATACTAGGATCTACAACCAGGACTTTTCAGGTAGATTGACTGCTCTTGCCATCTAAGTTATCGACAGCTAGCTAGTTATCCAGCTTCTGATAATTACTACATATCAGCAAGATTTGAGTTATCTAACAGTGCAGAAAAATGGACTTGTCCAAATGATTTTATTGTGATCTGATGCTGTGATGAAGTCCTCAAAATTTTATGTGTTTTTTAAAATCCTGAAATATTGAGTAATATTTATGCATTTATAAATATTTGATAACATTCACACAGTTTGTAAATATTTTAGTTATATGTATACTTTGTTGTTTTACATTTATTTATATGTTTTTGTTGTTAAAGTTAGAAAGGACCAGATGTGAGATATATATTTTTAAAATTTTAGATATTATTGAAGTTATTTAATGAATTTATCATACTTTACATTTCATTGTTTTCTAAACTGTACATATTAGTTTCTATTATTTTTATATGAATTTTTCAGTTGTTTCTGATCATAATATTTCCTTTGTGCATTTTACGCATATTAGTTACTTTGTTGTAGTTTATACTATTGTAATCCTTAATTTTGTTTGAAAAATGTAAAGTTTTCTTATTTAATGGGATGCATGTGTGGTCAGTGGTCAGAAGATTAATTGTGTGTAGAATTTCTTCTACTCTCTTTAGTTAATATTAAAGATCAATGACTTGACTTTGATCATACTGATTACTGTTTTGATTGAGTGTATTCTGTTTGGAGTAAATTTTGTATGTGGCTGTTAAATCACACATTTGGTAGATTTTATATTTCTTATTGGGATAACAATTTATGTGTAAGATGAGCTAGGAATTTTTGAAGGGACTGTATTTATAGTATTTTTGGTAATTTCCAGAGGTAATTTTAGTATTACGTATATTATTCAGAGTATTTTTTTGATAATTATCTTGTTGCCAAATTTTTTATAATTTAAAAATATTTTTAGTGTTAAATGTTTAATGCTATGAACTAAATGTATGGTTATTAAATAAAATATTTTTGTTGTGTTAATGTTCTTTAGGAAATTTTCTTTTCTATCTTTTGTCCAAATCATGGGTGTGCATTTTCATCCATCGTAATTATTTCTATATTTGAGAAGTTTTATCTGTGGTTAAAAATGACACATCAGTTAAAATCAGTAGAGGAAAAAACGAGGAAGTTCATCTTAAGAGTTAATTTCGTTGGTAACTTTTCCAGCAGTTTCAACTGCAAGAAAGTAAAATAACTCCCACAGTCAAAGAAGATATTTCCACTTGTATTGATACTTTTTAATAATGAAAAAAAAATGGTCCTGTCTCCTAATGAAAAATGGAACAAAAGCAAATCAAGAATTAATCTCTTTATGATTAGAAGAAAAATATATATTACAAGAAAATTATAATTAAACCTGTTGTACTTTGAGATGTGCCAAGACTGCTCTAATGAATAAATCTGAATGAAATTTGGTACTCGTGTGTTTATATCATATCACAAGGAAGATATTTAAGAATAGTTGGAAAATCAAATTTTTAGGCAAAGGATAAATGTTGCATTGCGATGAATTACATTTAGTTTGTACATAAGGCAGGTGAATTACATTTACCTGCCAGCATTTTATTTCACGAATAAAGTTACAAAATTATGTGCTGAATGTGAGATCCTTCATAGTTTATTACATGGTGGAATCATAAGATTGTGTTATTAAGTACCGTTCGCGTTATTAAAAAAAAATGTAAAAAATGCCACGCTATGATGGCCGTTAACATGGAGAACATGTATTCTTGAGCAACACTACCAAGAAAGCTGAGAGCCAGATGTTGGCTAACCGACGGTTGAAATTAGATGATGCAGGGGGCATGTGAATGAAAAACTCCATCAAATAACTCATTTATATTAATGTTGACATGAATAAATCTCTTAAATGGAAGAGATTACAAAGAAAAAATATAATATCGCTGCTGAATTGTATTTAATTCTTCATAAATAGATTTATGTTCTAAGCTTTACCTTCTAGGCATTTTGCACCTCGATGCAGTCTCTGTGTGTCCTAAATTTTGCTGAATATTGCCTCTAAAAATTAAATTCTAAAAATTTTGCCGCCGCTTAATTCTGCTGCATAGTGTCAGTAGAATACACACCACGGTTACAGTTAACACAACCGGATCTCAATAACCTGTAATACAAGCAGAATTTGACATTTCCAGAGATGTTAAAGTACTGCATAAAGCGAAGCAAAACAGAGATATGGGTCTTTAAACAAAGAGAGCCGACAAGTGGCCAAACGGTAAAATCTTTGAACATAGGCAGTTCGTCCTGTATTCCATTCCAAATGAACGAGCTGGCTGCCTGGGCGTTTTCATTCTTTTTTTGTGTAACGTGGAGACGAGACAGTTTTCTGTAGAAAGTCTTTTACAAAGGCATCCAACCCCTAAAGAAGGATAGTCCTCGTTTGCTATGCCATAATCAAATAAACCAGATCAAACCAAACTATAAACAAACAGAAGCGAATGAGTGAATACCTGTATCAAACACATAATAATTTGCATAATTTCATGGACGAAGCAGCAATGCTATCGTTAAAGGTTACTATGATGTCTTTCGCACCACTTATTCTGCTTTCTGTCTTAAGAGGCTATCACTTCTAGGGACGCGTACGGCTACGCGGGGCAATTCCGAGAAACGAGATTCTAGTAGCACTGCTTTAAGCGGGAGGCTTCCGAGAAATGTTTCGTCTAGCCAGGCGGAACATGTCCCGGCTACGAGCAACATTTTGAAACTTTCCTGATAAATTTTCCGTCTGAAGACGTGTTCCTCATACGTTCAATTAATCAGACGAAAGTTCTGCTTCTGAAGCGTGGTTTTCCCCATGTGTAACGTGTATACGAGCCAGTTTCCCTTAGAAAGTCCTCCACGAAGGCATTAATCCCTTTAGGCAGATAGCCCTCATGTGCTTTGCCATAACTGAATAACCCAATAACCCAATCTGCTTCTGAAAGATCACGGGTAACTTTCAATATGGCGATGGCTCTCACTGTGAAGTCTTGGACGGTGGAAATAGAGGCCGATTTAACTATTGCTGTTTTGTTGTAATATGACTACCTGAGTCATTTTAAAAATGTTTATATATTCATTAAATATATAATCGTGGAAATTTCAGAGTTGACAGTATTTTACGACGTTCTTGCAGTTCGGATTTGTTTACAAATTGTTCGTTGCTAAAAGTTCGCCAAATTTCGTGCTGATCGTGTATTATCACTGTTATATAATAGAATTTTATTTCTTAAATTTAAGTTGAATAATTTTTTTAAATCTGTTTGTATATGCGCGGCTTTTTTCCTAATTACTTATCTTTTAAATTGTTAATTGCATAATCAGTGACACATTTTAAACAGCGTAAAAGATGCATAAAAAAAGAAAAGCATAGCTTATGTAATAATGAGAATGCTCATTAAATTTGTCTGTTATTTTCATGTTATTAATTAAATACTTTTTGGATTATAAATACATTAGAAACTATACTTTTATTGTAAACGCTACATATTGAAACATTTGAAATTTATGGATTTATTATTATGCATGATGAAAAACATTTGTATATACATTCATTAATATAAATCTTATTCATTACATTAATACTAATAAATATATATCAACAACTTTTAAACCATCGCATCTCTCTATCTGTATGTAAATATATGATTTATTTAGATGTATAGATATATGTATTTATGAATACAAAAATAAACATTGCCAAAAAGTTTATTTGAAGTTACTTCTAATTCATATAACGATCATGTAATTGGCAGCAACTGTAGTCATCAGTTCTTTGCAAATTATTATGGATATGTAATAATCAGTTGAAAAATAATTGATGAGCATTTGAGTACTAAAGAGTGTCCACATTTTGTTTTTGGGTTAATTCATAATTATATCATATGTATGATCTACGTAATGTAAACATGACTAATATATAATAAGAAATGTAACAGCTGTGCATTTATAACATTTGATTACTTAAAAACAGTACACAACTGATTATCACCTTCATGTGTGTTTACATAAGGAATTGTACTTTCCAATTATGTGCACGGGCCTACTAGTGGGCGAAACGTCGTTGAACACTGGTAGTTCTGTCTGAGGTTAGGATGCCGTGAACGGGCTGGCTACATGGGCGTTTTCTTGGTTTTCCTCATTTGTAACTGGTATACGAGCAAGTTTTAAAAATCTTCTACAAAGTGATCCTTCTTGTTAGGCAGATATCTCTCGAGGCTTTGCTGTAATCACATAAAACAAACTCATGATATGCACTCCTAATTTCTAGAGTTAGTATAATTAATGTGTTTTAGGTATATTACTGAGTATTCTATGGGACAGTGAACAACTCACACATGTTTGATTGCTCATGTATTCATATGCTTTATTTAATCTTCATTTAGCTGAATAGTATCTGCTGGCTGTGAGGATGCAAATATCAGCCATATAGATTTTTGTCATAGAAGGTCTTGGTTTTTTTTTTTATTTATTTTTTATTTTTGTCTGTTTGTTTATATTTATGGACAGAACAGTAATTAAAAGCCATAAAGTTAGTCAAGAAAATGCTTTCACCAGGTCACAAATTTTCCAGTGAGCCATCAAATTTTCATTGGAATGCAGACACAGAAAATACACATAAGTAATGTCTGATAAATAGGCTTATCCAGCACACGTTTTAAACTATTCTTAGTGTATACAGAATTTGGCTATTACTGATGTAATTGATTGCTATAATCAGAAGTGTGTTTATCTGTTATTTGAAGTGCCAGAGTGGAGATCAAAGTGATTAACTTGATAGCAATCACCTTTCTATTATCTTCCATAACTAATTCCATAACATAAAGTTTAAAACGAAAAGAGTGTGAGCGATACAAAACAACACGAAGAAGCAAACACCACTTGAAAGGAAACGTCACTTTGATTAACACAACTGAACAAACGTCACAACTGATTCTTGTTTGGCTTTCAGCTTGTTTACCAAGTGAAGATGGTAACCCTATTTCGCGGAAGAGCGATTCTCAGAACTGTTCCCCCAAACGTTTTGTTCCGGCAACAAATATCGTATGTGAAAACAGCATTACTCAGTAATTTATCAATGGTTATTTTTGGCTCTCCTTTTTGCAGGGCTGTACTCTCTTATTGCCTGCAAATAGACAAACTGCATCCAACCCTGTAGGTCCTGTGCTTTAGCTGAACGGATATGCCTTTCAATCTGATGAGCAGCTCCACCGTCACAGCAGTTGACTTCACGATTGAATGTCGGGAGATATAATTTCAGAAATGGAGGCATTTTGTCTATTGAAACTTTGCGGATCGACTTATCTCTTCAACCTATGAATTTTTAATTTGGACTTGTACCTTAATTTTTCAATCCTTCATTACATGCATTAAATTGCTATCACTGCACGAAATGCTATGCTTATCCAAGATATGTTCACTACTTTCTACGTGTTATACACAGGGTAGGTTGATGTTCAGGAAACTTTCTTCATGATTGCCTCACATAATCCGATTGATCAGCAAATCCGTAAGCAAAGACACTCTGAATGCAGCAACTGAAGAAATATGGTCTGAAATTACACCAGACACAGCAGCAAATCTGATTCTGTCAATATCAGACAGATTACGAGCAGTGATAAATGCTAAAGATGAAATCACAAGGTATTAAATTAATTTTTATAACCAAAGTAAATGAAGTATTTCTCTCTTTGTATGTAGACTTTTGTGACATGCTAAGTATCAATTTTTGTTATTTTATTGAAATTCAAAACTTTGGTTTATTTTCTTGATGAGGCATAAATTTATGTATTTACGTATTTACATTTTAAAATATCAGTATAAATGCAAATAAAGGCGTTTTGATGGTTGTACGTGGATTTTTGTGATTATGTGCATTTAAAAAAAACTTATAAAGCAGCTTTTTTATTAAGCTTAAAGAAAAAGTTTAACTTTTCTGTCAGTAAAAAAAACTAAAATTGTTTTTTGTGCAAACTTCCAAAAATTTTTTAGCTTCATCAAAATTAATGTTTTACTTAAGCTACTGTATTTTCAGTAGAAAGGACTGCCAAACCATAAGTCATCTTTGACTCATTGTTGATTGAAGTTAGCTTTTAATCAACTTTGAGAAGCTTGTATCAAGAAGCAACTGAAACACATACTGTTAAAAAAAAAAAAAAAAAAAAAAAAAAAATGGTCTTTAATGGCAAATGTAAGTTAGAGACTGTTTTGTTGAAAGTCTATTTTCAAACTTTAACATTTTCAATGCAGACAGCTTTTTGATTTCGTCTGTTTCAGCTTTTGCTACCTGAAGATGCCGTTTTAGCAGTTTAATTTATCGTAAGATTTCATTTTCTTCTATCATATAAAAGCTTGTGGAGTTTGAATAAAATTTTTTAAGGCTTGAAATCAGCTTCGGAAGGTCTTCGATTTCTGTTTCAATAAGGTGCGATGTCTGAACGTATGCAAATTTTTTATATATTTTTTGCATCGATTCTTTCCTAGTTGTAAGTTCTCGATAAAAAGTATCTGCAGACTGAAACATGTATCTTTTTAATTCTTGTTTCAATGACAAGGCTTCATTTCTTGCCTTTTCTGGCATCACCTTCTTAAAAAAACCTTTTTGCTCTAATTTTGCAGTGGGTATGCTCATTTCTTCGCGAATTGCTGAAGAAAATATTTAGGCATTTTCAACTAGTTCGTCTTGGCTGTCTTCCAAAAAAGTTTTCAAGCAACTAATTTTTTTTTTTTTTTACAGTTTTATCCAAATTCTTTCACTCTGCAAGTATTTTTGAGTATGGTGCACCTGCTCAATGTTACACCACAAAATGAAGGTAACTGAGAAATTTGAAATTATAAATGTTTTTTAAATAAAATTTGGGCTAAACGTTTCTTGTCTGTATTTTTGTTGGATAATTGTTTTATGAGATACTCCCATCTACGTAAAAAGTATTTTTGCCTATTTCTTTACTTCATTCGAAAACAATTTTTCATTTAAGTTTGTGGTGGAGTGAAAGCGCAAGATCTGAACAATACACACGTTTAACGAAGCACACCAGCGGCCGAGCGGTAAAGACGCTGAACACTGGTAATTCGGTCCGAGGTTCGATTCCCGCGAACGGCCTAGCTGCGTGGCCTTTTTGGTGGTTTTCCCCATGTGTAAGCCAGTTTCCCTTAGAAAGTCCTCCACGAAGGCATCCTTCCCTTAAGGCAGATAGCCCTTATGTGCTTTGCCATAATTGAATAATCAATCAATCACACATTTAACACCTTAAAATGAATAGTCGAAAGCAGAAATGGAAAATAAAAAAAAAAAAATTACTATACAATAAACTAACTTACACTTTTATTGCGTCAATACGCATGGAATTAAAACTTCCACTGAACTGAAAAAAAATCCAATTCACGCTTCTTAATTACATTATTACGTTCAGTCTCTATACTGAAGTAATCTAATCTCACTGCGGCGAAGCGGCTCGGTCCCAACCAATGCACGCGATCTCCCGCGAATTTTTGAAAAATTTCCAATCTCGAACGTACTAATATATCCTTATAAATAAGTGTAAATTATAGTGGACTTTTCAGAACTAATTCTACAACATTCTGTCGCATTCTGCGAGATTCGATTATGGGGTATTTTGGCGAAGCTAAATGGTTAACTCGGTTATTTTAAGTTCTAGAGGGTTGTCTTTCACACTCTCAAAGGCGATGCTGCCAAACTGTGCAATTTTTCCTTAAATTTAGGAGAAAAATTAAAATTTGTAGTTCATAACATTACAGTAAGACCTCGCTTAACGCTGTTTCGTTTAGCGCTGTTTCGGTTTAGCGCTCTTTTATTTCAACCCGGGGATTCTCCGAAATTGTGCGCAGCGCTAGGTTTCCAAATAACATATCCGAAACAGTGTAGTTGTATTTCTTGCTTTGTGGACGCATTTTTATCATTTGAAACATTTGTTGACATTATTGTAAGTTTAAATTTGTATAATACTACAACGATTAATACAGTTACAAATATTATGATTTTTTTAGGTTTTTTTCATGGGTGATAATAAAAAACAAGAAAAGAAAGCAACCGAAAAAAAGCATTTCACTGGAAACTCAAATGCAAGTGCGATAGTGATGATAGAAGATTAGATTCTGGTGAACGTCAATCTCAAATTAGTGGCTGCATTGATTTTGGCAACTTCAACAATAAGGACAATTCTTAAAAATAAAAAAAAAATACTGTCCAATCGGCAACTGCAACTACGTCAAGCTCTGCAACTAGAATTACCCGTTCTAGAAAAACATTATAGAGGAAATGGAAAAAAAAACGACTGTCTATATGGATTGACGACGAAATTGAACGCAATATGCCATTAAGCCAATCTATCATAATGCCTTCTTGACAAAAAGGCAGAAAATTGGAAACCCAGAATAGACTGAATGATCTGACTGAGAATTTTATTTGTTTTTAAAAGTATATGCGTTTATATTGCTTTTATTTTTGTAAGAAATAGATGTTTGATTTTATTTTTATTAAAAAAACATTATTAATTAACTATTATGCCTAACCATTTTTTATCCGTCTTCCCCTAACCCCATTATTTACATGTTAAGATAACCTCGCTTAGCGCTGTTTCGCATTACGCTCTACTTCGATGGAACGTATCCCCCGCGTTAAGCGGGGTCTTACTGTATTTTGATACACGCTTACACACCCACTTTCTGCATATAGTGTTATATCTACTACCCGGGCAACTGCGTGAGAGCGAGCGTTTGGCTAGAGGTTTGGAAACTGCTCCTATGCAACAGTATCAGCGCTTCTAACACGACACATTTGTAAGTAATCATCCTCCCAGAATACAAAGTCCCTTTTTTATATTCCCACATATAGAAGTACATATACTTTAAAACTTTGGTTCTTCGGAGGCTCGGTACGCCACTGGTTCTTACATACTGCGTCAATGCCTCGACAGGCGTATTTACCGCATTTTTTTTAGAAGAGGTGTTACCAAATTCGTTGGATGTCGTTCCCAGCAGCTTCAAGCGAACACGTCTGGTTTCAGCATCAATCTACGAGACTATCTCAATTTAACCTTATCGTTGGATTCGCGGATGCGGACCAGTCGCATGTCCATTACGATCCCCTGACCTCATTCCCATGCATGTCTTCATGTGGGGATACAGAAAGTCCCTGATGCTCGAGAGATCCGATCTTGAGAGATTTGTCATCGACCTCGTAGCCCTGGAGGGGGAGACACTTGTCCACGACACACCTGGCCAATTTGAAAGAGACTGTAAATTCATGCGCCGGCACTGCGGTGGCTGAACAGTTTCTGCAACCATGATTATTTGTAGCTTTTTTTTAAAAAATAAAATCATGTTAACGCCCTATCGATTCCATTTCTTTGCATGTCGATCACCTTGCTCTAACACTACATGTTTGAATTTCGCTCCCTACTTAAGGGCAGCATGCAAAGTTAGTAAATGATCTTTTGGTATACCCTGTAGAGTTTAAATTGTTGGCTGAAGGAGAGAGTTTTACGGGTATGAAAAGCCTGAAGGTAATTCAATTTGCTAATTGAGGAAGACATCCGTAACTGACAACTGATCCGCAGTCCATCACTTGATGAAATGGAGGAATTTTAAAGATTTTCTAATTTGGGTAATAGTGCTTTTTATACAAAACTTATTTTTAATTTTTCTGTTATAAATCAGTTTCTTCAATAGAAATAAAAATGTTTTATTTTTTTTTACATACACGATTGACATCGAATGACACTTACCATCTAAAATAACACAAACTTACGCTTATACGTTTAACACGAATTATTAAGCTAAATATACAGCCGATAGCAACACTTAATATTTGCCATTGGTTGCAAAGTCAGTGTAACAAAGTAAAAAATGCACATGGTTCTTTCACAAGACACCATGCGTCGGAACTGAAAGCAGAGTCCTTGATAAAATCCATATGTTCGCTTAGATTTATGATGCATTTTTTCAACAACTTTGATTTGTTCGACATCAACTGCAAAACAGCAATCAAGTCTCTTTTTTTTTTCTGAAATAAATAAATAAAAAATATGTTACTGTACATAAGCAAACTTCAAAATAACATAAATTATTTTTAAACAGTTTTATTATAGTGTTAGTTATCTTCAAAATGTTTTTCTAAAGCATCGTAGCTTGTGGAAATATAGAAATAGTTGTTGAATTTTTAACATGGATATTATTTAAAGTAGGTTACGTAATTTCTTGTTCCTTTTCATCAGCTGATTTTTGAGAGTTTTCTTTATTTGTGTAGAGAGAGAAAATTGCAATCAACAAGAAGATTCCGTAAGTAAGCATGAGTGAGAATAACATTGGCATGATTATCTCTTGATTCATTCTTTTATAGAATAGTTGCCAAAATCGGTCACCATTGCGACTTTTCAAATCTTCAAAACGGAATTTTGAAAATTTTGGATTTTGCCATATAACGATATATCGCTCAATTTCGTTATTTTTCGTTATTTTTTAATAATATTTTAACTCTTTACCTATAGAATATTAGAAGCTAATTCTTTTACTGTGATGTGTTTCTAAATGCATAGATTCACATACGTATATATTATCCGAAAAACTGAGGGTTTCACAGTCGGAAGATCTTTCTTGTCAATCTGATGCCACAGGCGCGGGAAATTCTTTGATAGACATTTGAAATTTTATATTGTGACAATTATTTTAAATATTACTAATTAGTTAAGTTTTAAACTGCATTCTGTCCTTCCTCTGTTTATTTTCCATCAGCAGCTACGCTGCCAGCCTTCGTCAGGCTTTTAAATGTACCGGAAAATGCCTGAAAGGAATACCAAACCTTAAATTTAATAATAATAATAAATAAAAAAATTAAAAAAAAAAAAAAACTCAAAGGTTTCAGATTTTAAATTACGTCCAAAGGGGCGATTTTAAACGTTTTGTGTGTTACCTTTGTTTATTAAATATCATGTTCTTTGCACTTAAATAATAAAATTCAGTTCAATAGTAATGTCGCAAAATAATTTTTAAATGAGCCTATATTTAGAATTTCCGATACACAACGCGCTGGAGATAAGAAGGTTTTTTTTTTTTTTTTTATCCCCGTAGAGTGTTGCCATTGCTCGCTTTTAAATCGTATAGTTTGTTACTCAAAAACTCGTTAAAGTTTTACAAAATATGAAATCGACAATAAAACAAATTCGAAATTTTAAATTTGGTCTTCCACATGCCCATATTCGTAGGAGGATTACGTCATTCAAAATTCGATGGCTCTATGTACCGTTGTTTTATCACAATGCGAGAAATATACATACATTTATGCAGATTTTTCATTGTTTATTTTCTTCAAATATAATGCAGGACTCTAACATTTGGTGCCAGCAGTTTGAAAAGTGAAACGGACATTTACAGTGATTCAATGCAAAATCGCAAAACGAAAAGTCTGTCCTTCAGGGCAAAAGCCCCTTTGGACTAAAAAACCACAAATTAAAAAAAAAAAAAAAAAAAAAAAAAAAAAAAAAAAAAAAATATTGCATATAACAAGATTACAATTAAATAAGCAATATCCCTTAATACAAATATTAATTTCCTAATAAATAAATTAACCAACTTCTCGTTACTTCTCTCAACAAACGCCCAGTATCCAAGAGAAACATTAAATTTAAGAACTGCACAGAATTATCGCCCTCATTTTTCCAAGTGGCAACAGTGCTTATTTTCAACAGTCAGCAGTCCAGTATACAATTAAATAAAGAACTGTTGTCAAAACCACATTTCTAAAAGAATGAAACTATTCAAAATGATGCAATAAAATCGGGAAAAAAAATCTGATTCGAATTTTGAAAAAATCGCTTCGAGGTGCACTGGCTTTTTTTTACGCCTACATACAAAATTTCGTAGCCCTGTGTCTATTAGCTTACGCGCAGCACGAACGAAAGACTTCTTTATTAAAAAAAATTAATAAATAACGGAAGAACGTTCTTTCTTTTATTACGTGTAGAGATTACAATAATTCGGCCAGGCTAGAAATTCATGCAGATATCAATTACACACATATGAGATTAAATACTGCGGTTTCTAACTGCAACCTATGTTACAGGCAAACTGCTAATTCTTCTCTAAAATATTTGTTGAAATGAGTGTTTTCGTGAGCTATTACACTCGGTGACTTTAAGATCGCTCTTATTAAAGATAAATAGAGTTAGCGATTTCGCTAACGTAAAAGGTCTAGATGTCTGCTTGTGTCGGCTAGATGCTGACTTCTGTGTTTGATCAAGACAGTCACCGTGTCTTCGCAAATAGCGCGACATTTATTTTGTGCAATATTTCTAGTTTGAAACGCAAACTATAATAAGGAATTTTTAATTAAGTAATATATAATTCTTTTATAAATTCTCGTTTCTTGGTTAGGTGATAATTCGCTGTAACATTAGGTAGCTAATAATAGCCATTAGGTTATGTTCAATGGACCAGTGATCACAGAAGGTTTATGTCAAGAGCTCCGAGTAATCGGGATATTCACGAATTGTTAATTGGGTATTAAAATTTATTATTAATCATTTCAAAACTATTTTAGTTATTATTGATTTCTGTTCTGTAAAATTTTCTATTCATATTATTATTCTCAAACTGGGATAGTTTTCGTTATAGAGCAACATGGCGATAAAAGTTTTCTAAATATAAGAAATATTCTTTTAGGTTAATTATTTGAATAAACAAAGAACTAAAACAGAATGACAGACTTAAAAAATTTAATACTAATGATAATTAAGGCTAATTTACTTAGTTTGAAAACAAAAGCATTGTTGTAAGAGATGAGGACATTATATAGTTTAAAGGTGGGTGTGTATTAGGTGACAATATTGGTCAAGTTTTGTTTAAATGAGTTTTTATCTGCGTTCTGTTTTAATTCACATAAGAATCAATCAACTAGTACCAGAGTATGCTTTGTCTTTCCACAAAAAAGTATTTTGTGCTTCCTATCCTGTAGTGGGAAAGGTCACCAAACCGGAATTAGTTACATACCTTTCAGCAATCTGAACTGGCCATAGATGACTGTGGTAGTAGTGGGGTTTCAGCTGTAGATTCAAGCAGTTTAGAACCGTTAGATCTACCTTCTGGTGAGGAATTGCTCCGCTGATATGAGTCCCGCGTACTTGTAGTGCTGTTGTCTGCAGGTGGAGGGTTGACGAATGCTGGTGCCTTTGCAACTTCTGCTAACATCTTTTGGTATTCCATGAAGTCCCGGGCACTACACAGCGGAGTTTGTACTTCATTAGTGGCATTGAACTTACTGTAATCCACTAAATACTCTCCAGTTTCTTTCCGGAAACTGACAACCTGGAATAGTAATAAAAATTTATGCATTTATTAGAAAAATAGTCCATCCTTTTTATACGCATTATCCCAAAATAAAGTTTTGAAAAGTATACTTAAGTATATAATTTGCTATGGACAAATTGCCAAAAGAACTAGAAAGGCCAATTATTATATGCAGAAAATCTACATACCATTATAATTTTAATGAAGTTCGCTCTGTTTCCAAGTTACTATAGTTACAAAGCATATAATTTCGTTGACGGTTTATGATGAACAAAATATTTGAATAAAGAGCTTAATTTTATGTCCCAAAAATGATGCTTATGTATTTGCATAAAAAACAGTTTTAAGATTCAGATAAATTCGTTATGATAATTGATGTCACACTGTTAAAGTTCTCATAACAATTTCATATCATATTAAATATAAATACAAATTATTCCTGTCATCTAGACATGTGAAGAATTGTTACGTATACTCAAAAGCAACATATATTAGAGCTACCTTCTCAACAACGTGTAGTCTTTATCATGGTAACTGCACCACACAGCATACCACAATTTCCACCACAACTGGCGCAAGACGAAGAAATGCTGAAAGAAACGGATAGCAGAAGAATAAAGAGGCCAGTTACTTATATGTTAGAAGAATGCTTAACCAACCATGCTCGGGCTGCTATGAATCTGTGCGGGGATGAAATTTACCTTGCACAGAACTCTAGCAACCCAAACATGTTGGAATAAATCCTTTGGTCTTCATTTTCTTGGATGAATGTTGAAGACGGAGGAAGATACTGATCAACGAGAAGAATCTCTCACTTGTTCCACATGTTGGCAACACCAGAGTAAAAGTGTCTTACAAAGTATATAAGCATAGAATATGCCATTTTCTACTCCAGCTACTATACCACCACCAACCTTGGAAAGTGTATACTTGACACGATAGATCCATTTTTTCGTCAGATTTCCAAAGAAATAATTTGGCTATTACAGAATAGAATTTCAACTCACTTGGTTTATTTCGTCAGTTGGCCAGCGTCCAATACCGAATGTCACGAAACCTAAGGGCTATGTGGTTTGGTGATGCAGTTTTTGCGGAAATAATTATTTCATAGACTTCAATGATTTTAAAAATTAAAGATGAAACAAAATCGTAGAAATTATTGTGCTAAGCATTTGTTTGTATGTTGTCGTGCAATTTTATTAGACGTTGTCACAGAGAATTGCATGCTGCATGGATCATAAAATCTCCTCAAAAGTTTCGAACGGTAAGTGTAAGATGCTGGATGGGATGTGACTACAGTTTTGGTTGGGACAATTGTATTCCTGCACAATGTTTGACGTTATAATAGATGAAACTTTAATCTTGAAAGCCCTGATATGATGTTTAGCTATCTCTTAAGTGTATTAATTATGTTATTGTTATTACAAGCACATTGTAACAAACAAAATCACATACTTGAAAACATATACTATTATACCTGGAAACGGATAATGATTTAAACCATCTTCTAGCATATTATTTCATTAAAAGCTTCTTCCATTAATAAAAACAAAACATGTTTTCTAACATCTCTTAATATTTTCAAATTAATGCTAATGACATAAAAATATTTTTGATGCAATTACTTTCATGGAGACTGGGAATCGTGTAAAAAGTTAGATTTAGTAATTTTTAAAAGACTGATTTAAAAAATTTTAAAAACTCCAAAATATGAATATTTGTATTGTTTAAAAAGTACTAAAATCAAAATAGAACTTAAAAATATCCTTTGAATTCTGCTATTGAGCAATTTATTGACTGAGACATCAACGGTTCTAAGACTGAAGTTAAGCCACCAGGAATCGGAGTCTTATTCATTCGCTTCTTTTGAACATTTTCTACACTCTTCTATTTAGATGGCCTTGTCTAATGTATGTAGCCTTTGATTTTATACAAGAAAAGTAGTCGAACATTATTTTTCCTCAAACAAAACAAACGATTCTGAACTAGACACGTAACATTTGCCATATGGCGTTAGAAACATTTTTTATTAATTCGAATGGTATTTATAAAAATACCAGTTACCTATCTATATTATACTTTACATTTTAATTTTTATCAATTAAATATATTATTAAAAAGTAAAATAAAGATTTAAATTATTAAGAATCGCATTTATTGCTTTTATATTGTTCGATTTGTCGTGCAACTTCAGATTGATTAAATTTTAAAAATAAATAAAATTTTGCCGAATGACAACATTCTGAGAACTATTATCAGCCAAATCACGTGAAAAATAAATTAAAGAGTGTATGTTTAGCTCAATGGAACATTGTTAAGGCGAATAAACGCCTGGTAGCACAATGTAACAATACAGCGTAACGTAATGCTTCAAAAAGTTTGGAACAATTCCACTAAAGATATTTGTAACGTCAACATATCGGAATGGCAAATCATGATATATTAAATGTTTTTTTCCCTTGAGAAACTATATTCGGCTAAGATATAGTAAGATAGAATTGAGAAATTATGATGCTATAGAATTTGTCCCAGGTTCAAAATATCAGAATTATGTTTTCATTTTCCCTTTTGAAGCTAAAAAGAATAATGCTTTATAACTTACTTGATCGAAACGATGACCCCAAAGGATTTCAGTTGAGATGTACGATGAACGCGCTTGGATGGACTGTCCAGTAGATTCAATGGTACCCTCAAGAATAGCAACAACTTCATACCTTTCTCTGAGCATGTCTTCAGCTGACTTCAGAAAAAAAGGACTGGTTTCATTGATCTCATGAACAATAGTTGCTGGCCAAATGAGGAATACATCGTCACCACCGTCATCAAAACGCACATCCAGATGAGTGTGATAATACGGGATTACCTAAAGGAAAAGGTTAGCGGATAAAAATGGTTTTGCAGGATAAGAAATGACGTTAACTCTTCAACAGCAACTTGGAGTAGTCCCGATTATAAAGACAAATCAATTTGTTAAATCTTTCAACAGTGACTTCACATATGCTATGTTGAGCAGCTGCAGTTTTTAATGTTGTTTGACGAGTGAAACAAAAATTTTGATGTGAATTTATGCTACAACAAATCACTATATTAGTTATTATAGGGCTTGTATTTCCCCAAAACATAAGGGATAAAACAACTGTATTCAAATTCTATCCAATTAATTGATATAATCTTAGCTGTCTATCATAAATATAAAAGTTGTTTGTTTATGATATTGTTTTATGATAGGAAAACATATATAAATCTATATATTCTGCGTTTGTAATTTTTTCCTTTCGCCAAACTACTCGTATATACATAGCTAAGCCCCTTAGCAATACATATAAGGTTGGTTTTAAGTCCAAAAACTCAATAGTGATTTTCTGTGTATAAGCATGAATTAAGGTTTCCACAACGTTTATTTTTGCTGTTTTTAAAATAATATCTGTCTGCCTATGTGTATGTGTGTGATAATTTTTCTGTTCACGATAACTTATATAAAACTTCCAAAAATGTCCATTTTCTGTGTTTAAGCTTTCTGCATTGGTATAAAGAGTTGATTAGATTTTGAATAAAATTGGTACTTTGCATGAAGTTGCCCGTATCAGTTTTTAATGGCAATCGGAAGTTGTATTTTATTTGAAGGCCATACCAATATTTAATTAATAACTATATTAAAATCCAATCCAAAGCTTTTCAATTTTAGCTTTTTATCGATGGGAACAAAATATTAAATTTTGGCTTAAACTCATAAAGTTATACTTAAATCTCCGAACACATTTTTCGCCAAAAATCTGTTATGAGGTAAGCAAATCTTCTCACTTTCAATATTTAAAACATGTATGTGATTGAAAACAATATATTACATTTATAAGCATTAAAAGTAGCCTTGGAATTATGGCAGATACAATAAGTTTATTATGAAGATGAGCTCTCATTATGAAATAATAAAATCCTCAATACTCAATTTTGTGTCCATTCATTCTTGTGTCGAATCACTTTGACATAAAAAGATGCTGTCACCAAATGTTTTCGCTATGTGTCATTTTTAAAGAACTAATGTAGTAAATATAACAGTATAGCGAATATGAACAAATATGTGGCAACACTTGAAATTCTATTGAGAATTCTAAAGATATGCTGCTTTTAAAGATTTTGTGGTTTTGCTGTTAAATTTTATGTGGCGTAAATTCGAAAAAAGTTATGCTTAATAAATAGATCTAAAAGGACAAATAAAAACGGTGTCACCTTAATTAAGAAAATTGAACATTGATATCATGAACTGAGAAAAGACTGGAAAAAAATGTATGGCAACATAGTATAACATTACTAGGTGTTCTAAAGATAAATTGCTTTTAAAAATTTTGTAATTGTGTAGTAACTGATTTGCGAATCTGAAACAGTATGTGACTAGAGGATATCCTAATATGATCGAGGTGATATTTTGAAATAAAATCATGAGAACAGATGTGTGCATGAGCATGTATAGTTATTGTATGGGAGAACAAAATAATAAAGTTGGAGACCCACGGATATCGTTCCTAATGGTGTCCTCGATTAAAATGGGATAGACGATAGAGGTTGGACAAAGACTTTATATATTCAGATGTGGTCGGTCACCACATCTGAATATATAAAGTGCACTTTATACACTTTAGAATATGATTGTTAAAAGAGTATTACATGTGTTTACATATACTCTGTTGGGTGAAAAACATATTTGTATATTTGTGTGCTCAATGAACTAAAATTGTGCTCAATCACAGGTTAATAATTCTCAAATTACTGGAAAATTATAAATTTTTTTCAATGTTAAAATTATCATTTAAAAATACAAATATTAAAATGCATAAAATATATTTCCACTGAATAATTGTATACAAAATGATAATTTGTTGATTCTGACAAATTGCAAAAACCATATAAATAATGATAATGATGCTACTAGCACATTATTTATATGTCTTCAATTTGTGACCGGTTCCTCCTTTGATGTGTTCTTGCTCACTGGGAAAGGCACATTTGGTGTAAGTTTAGAGTGCAATAAATTATCAGTCTCTACTGGTGTTAATTCGTGTCTTTTCAGTATCATAGTATAAAGACGTGGTTTTTCGAACTGCTCTGATGAAGAAAAACGTCTAGAAAGTGAACTATTGAGTTCTGTCAGCGAAGGTATTATTTTACTTCATTTCCAAGATACAGGTTATTGAAATATAAGGAAAGAAAAAGGAAAATATGTACTTTTAAATTTTTTGTACATTGTTAGATGCATAATCAGGGAATTATGAAGCTAATGGAACTGTAACCAATATACTCCATTCAAGGTGTCCAGAGAAAATTATGTGAGATAATCGAAGCACTGTTGCCAATCCTATAAGTGCCCAGAAGTCGGAGAGAGAAAATGGTGACATTTCTGTATCAAATATAGTTTTTATTATTTGTATAAAAAATTGCATTTTACAATTTTTCATGAGATCTTTTATATCGTAGCAAGAGATGGACCGCGTATCCTGTGTTCTTCCTTTCGAATACCAGACTATCTAACAATCACGTCGATCGCTTGCGCTGCAATGGGGGGAGGAAGGTCCTTGATTCATCTGCAGCCGATGCAAATTTTTCAGGGATGAGAGAATTTTAGAACTAGCCATTCAGCAGGAATTAAATGTGAAGGATAAAAAACCCGTGAATTTTCTCTTCAACAAACTTCTCATATTCTTAAAAGGAAAGATCCTTATAATCAAAATTAGTGCTGAAAAAATTGCTGGATCAACAATATTTGTAGCTTTACCATTCAAACATTTTAAAAATATTAATTATCTTGATGGATTACGAAGAAAAAGTGATATATTAGTGAAGAACTATTTTCCGTTTGCTAAACTATACATAAATAAACCAAATGGAAAAATATTAGTTAACTGATGAGACCAGCTTCTACCCTTTTGATATTCACTTGGTTGAGACACAGTTTGGCATTATTTGAATACTGAATTCAATCCGAGAATATTTCACGCATAGTTAAGGTCTGTTAGCATAGTTAAGGTCATAGTTATAGGAGCTGATCATTTATGTACGCACTTGAAAAGTATAAGTATGCAAACACTTTTTGTTCTCCTAAAACATTGCTGTTTCTTACTAACTTCTGAATCAAATAAATTCACACGAATGGTTTTTTGATGGTTAAAAATCACGTTTCATCATCCATATTTTAATATATGCTAATATGTTTTGCACCCACTGTGTAGTTAAATAGCAGTAGAATATTTTGAAAATAAATACATTAGACTTACTTCTCCTTCTGCCGTGGTCTTCCTGCGAATGACCTGAGCACTGATTTTGGCTCCAATGATGTGAGATTTTCTCATATCTCCAACCCTAAACATGAAGCAAAGCTTTCCGTCTCGTAGACACACGCAAGCGTAGCGACTGAACATGAGAGTCTGTGATCGTTTCTTTGGCCGAGACAGCTTGGCGAAGACTATTCCAGCCATGAAACATTGTATCATCACTCCAGTTATGGACTGAGCGCACATGATGAACACGGCTTCTGGGCATTCATCATTTGTGTATCTTGAACCATAACCTGAGGGAAAAATGAAGTATTAATGCATAGTGAATAACATTTTGATATCGTTGTAACTAAGTCAGGAGTGTTTTTCTCAGGTACGCCTCCAAGGTTTTCACAGTGCCTAGACGATCAGTACAGCTGATGCACTGTATAAATTAAATATAAAAATTTTTTATTAATATTTCAAAGAGAAATACATCTTTATTAGCGTATCTCTTGTGAACACAATTTAAACTAGCAATTTCCTAAAAATCGGCGCTACTTATATCGCCAGTGCTTGGAGCTGTCCCTATTTTTTCTAGATTAAACACCGCGAATTATGGCTCAGGTTTCTTTATACAATAATAATGAAATAAACTCAAAGGTTGACTGAATGCAGCAAAACTAAGAATGTTCATCACAGATGCATGGTCGAGCTGGAAGCGGTTTAGGCGCTGGAAGGCACTTTCAAGTGGGGATTTTTTAAGCAGGATGAAGGATTTTTTTTTTTAACTCACTTTATGTTTTATTTTTATTTCCATTTCTCCTGATAATTTTCTTTTAAGTGTTACCTGGTTATGATATGGCTTTGTTTCTTAACGTTTGATTTTTATTTTCAGTATTTTCAATTCATAATGGCCACGTTCTTCTCTTAATCAATCAATTAATTTTTTGGATTAGACACAATGGTCTCGCTGTGTTCATAAATGGTTATAATATATTTCTTCTGTCAACCGTCCTTGAGGTAACCTTAGCTCCAGACTCACTTCTCATTTTCTTGCGGCTAAATCATCGTGTTCAGAATTCATGCACCGTCATAAATGACTTGATCGGTAAATCAATGAGAAGATTTATATTAAGATCTGTCTTTGATTTTTTAGTCTAGTCTACTTATCTGTCTTTGTGTTGCAAAAGATGGAAACGAAAAGCGTCCTCCAGCGCTTAACAGTTTAACGTATGATCATGCATTCTATGATGAAAACCGTTTGTTTCGGTGTGTTCTGTCACCTTTTAAAGTCTGATCAATTGTTTTTTAAAAACTTATATATTAAGTTGCAGGAAAGGTTTGGCCACTTCATCATTAAAGATTATTTTATAAAAGAGGAAAGTTATTAGAGAAAACGTAAGGATCATTTGCACAGACAATCGTTTACCAATGTTCAAGTACATTTTGGATTCCATTCTAATAGAAATGAAATGCTTTAAACTCGAAAAAGCATCCAGCGACTGATTCATACGAATAATGGTTCCAGATGGCTACAATAATTTCTAAAATTTCATCAAAGTCACATGCCAAATATGAAACAATTGTGCAGCAACTCAGTTTTTCAGTACAATACTGTAGCTACTATCAGATTGCAGATGTGCTCGTGCAACAGCTGCTAGTGCCTGGAGAAAGTAGCAAATTTAAGAATTACTGCATCTAAACCTCACCAAACAACTCAACCTTACGTCTCCAGTCAGAAAAAAGTGCTCGTGCAGTATCTGTGAGATAATGTCTTAGTCCTTATGCGTGTAATATTTTCAGAACCACGCTAAAACCAAGAATGTGCATTTTTTTTTTTTTTTTTTTTTTTTTTTTTTTTTTTTGCGTTTTTTCCAGTTAGAAACACATTTTTATTTGTTTCTCGATGTGTTACACAATAAGAGAAGCATATAAAGAGAGCATGTAAAAAGTTTTACGTGGAAATCGTAATTCGACTTCTTTTAGACCGAACGCATATCGAAACTTCAAACCCACTTTCCACGAAGCAACTATTTTCAAGATTCGTAATTTTAGCATGGTACTTATGCTATCGAAAACTGCTAATTATGGTGAGAAACCCGAATGCTAATCTCCTACGGGGATAAGGAGAAGTTTATGGATAATGAGTACATAATTTGTCTATAATAAATTGTGTTCTTTTTAATTAATTTATCTCTAAAATACCTAATTAATACATTGGGAAACGTTTTACATAGTGTTTATACTAGTTCAACCAATTGTAATAATATGCGTGCGAACTTACAGCAGAGATTCGTTAAGGACAGGTTAAAGTGTTTATAATGTTAACTTTTTAAAATAATACCCAAGGAAATGAAAGATGGTATTGCTGGGTTTCAGAAAAATAAATTTGCGCAATGAATTAGTCCAAAATTAGTCGTACCATCTAAACAAAAATTGAAAATCTTTAGTACCACCACTACAAAGTATTACTACCACATCCACTCTTAAACAAAGCTTCAGATCGCATAAATTTACGAGTGTTAGATGAAACTCAGTCAGGATGTTAGGGTTTTAATTTTTTAATTTAATAGAAAAATATTTTGCTTCTTTGCGTACCACCTATTTTTCTCTTGCGTACCACCAGTTGAGAACACCTGAATTAGTCTAATAGCGGCGACATACGAAAATCCGTGTATCAAAGTAAAACAGCAATGACAGACGAAAGCATTTCATTCAATTTCTACTATTTGTGGCTTTAGATAACAGACTTCAGTTCTTTTTTTCTTTTCTTTCTTTTTTTTTTTTTTTTTTTTTGTTAATGTGCGTGCGTGAGTGTGTGTATTTGCCTGGGTAGTAAAACTTATTCCGTTTCTTTCTTTAAGATAGGTGATGCAAGAGCAATTTGAGGTCGTTGATCCTTTAAAACTACAACTTGCGTTGAACCAGACTATATCTGTAAGTGCTACCAAGGTTATCCTAATAATGCGAATGAATTAAGAATACATCAAGTTTATTGACTACAGCTTACTTTTCTTTTCTCGCTAAAGTCCACTTCATAAAAAAAAAAGACTGGCTGTCAAATATTTTGGTATTAATATATATGAAATGACATTCTGTTGACCAGAGTTAACTAGAAAACTAACCAAGATGACAAGCTATAAAATGAAATTTTATCATACCGCTGAGAATTAATAACTTTTAAATATTTACTAAAAGTTATTACATTTATATTAAAAGTTATAATATGTAAAGTTTTGATTTATATAGAGCAAAAAGATTTGTCCCTGAAGGACTATTGTTTTCGTTTTGCGATTTTGCGTTGGTTCACTATAAATGTCCGTTTTACTTTTCAAACTGTTGCCACTAAACGCTAGAGTCCCGAATTATATTTGAAGAAATTAAATAATGAAAAATCTGCATAAATGTATGTATATTTCTCGCATTGTGATAAAACAGCGGTACATAGAGCCATCGAATTTTGAATGACGTAATCCTACTGCGAATATGGGCACGTGGAAGTCCAAATTTGAAATCTGGAATTTGTTTTACGATCGATTTCATATTTTGTAGAACTTTAACGAATTTTTGATTAACAAACTCAAGGATTTCAAAGCGAACAATGGCAACGTTGTACAGAGAAAACATTTTTATCTCCAATGCGCGAGACTCTGTATCGGAAATTCTAAAGATATGCTCAATTTAAAACTATTTTGCGATATTGCTCTTATATCTAATTTAAAATCTGACGTAATTTAAAATCTGAAATCTTTCATTGCATTTATTTTAGTTATAATATTTAAAGTTTTAATTCGTATTAAAAATTATAATAATTATCTACTTGGTATGCTGCGTATTATGTCGTGCATTTATGGATAACCACAAAGCAAGAAAAAGACACTAGATATGAAAAAAAAAGGCACTAAATTTACATCTTCTTTAAACTATTTTACGACCTATCTCATTAATACAGATAAGTTAACCATAAAACTTATTAACGTCACATATGTTGTCCAAATACGAATAAAAATGTTAAACCTCTATAAATATTATGAAGCTTTCCCTTTGAGTTACTTAATTTTTCTATCTATGTACAGACATTTTAATAATTTAATATGCAGTTTCCATATACGTATTTATTTAAAACGCTGATTACAAATATTCTTACATACAAGACAAACGTTGCTTTAGCAGATTTTGATACATTATTTAAAGCCTTCGAAATAATAAAAGCTTTCTGTGATGACTATCTAATTTTCCCTTTGTCAACGGAAATCATTCGTTAAGGGAGTTTGTACCATATGTCTTAATTTATTTCTGTTTACTGCCACTGCTGGAAATGTCTGCAATTACTGACAAACGAAGGAAGCACAGTACAGTTTAAACAACCACCATTCTTATTATGGGAAATAAATTCTCATAAAATACTTTTCAAAAGTGTTTTATTCTGAAAACACCCTGAACTTCTTCCTAGTGCTTCAACACTTAATACCTCTGCCCAGTAGCTTTGTTTGAGCCAGTAATTTAGTTTAAGCCAGTACGAGCGGAATAGTGAAATTTTGTAAAAGAATGCAAAATAAGCCGATATTATTCACAGCCCATATACGGCTTACATATTCACAACTCACAGCTTACATATATAGGGAAAATTTTATTTAAAATAACAAGAAGAAAAACTTTCATAGCAGTACAAGACACATACAGGACCTCAGAAGATACTTGAACGCAAAATATTATAAATATAAATGCATACAGCTTAACTGAAATGTTCAAAAACAGCTTTTCATTTTGTTAATTGTATGAGGAATTGGAAGTAAAATTTGAACACTATTCACGGGTAGAAAGTGCTTCTGTTGGAGGGTCATAAACATTATGGCCACTAGTTATAGGAGCCAATCTTCTTGTAATTTTCAGTTGGAATATTTATATCTTAATTTGTTGTAGTAGTAATGATCAGTCAATTAGGCATAAGTAGCACATGGCTATTATTTCCTCGTTCTTTCAAAAGATTCAGCATTGTCCTGAAGGTGAAGGAACGAAATGATGTTGTCTTCATGTGGGTAGATGCCTTTTATTTTAGCCATTGAATTAACAGCTATTACAGCAACACTGCTAATTTTATTCACAGTTTACCAACTAAGTTATTAAAAAAAGTAACACGGTATAAACGAAAGACACGAATACCACAATGAATGTCTGAAAACAGCAAGAAACATGGAAACAGCCACTGCAGTTGCCGCTATTGTTGTAAAATTTTCTAAACATAATGCATATCAAGAAACCCTGGAAATGGATATCAAACTAAATTTGAATTGTGGGATTATAACGTAAAAATGATATAATATTCTTATAAAGTCCAATCTATACGAATGTTAAGATGACCCGACAGCCGGCTCCAGTTCTCAGAATGATCTAGGCAAGTAATTTATGCGAATCTTGTGTTCCTTTAAAAGATAAATTTTACAGATCGAGTCCCTTTTTTGTGTGAGTAATAAAACTCTAATACATAAAATCGTTATAACGTATTTTCTCCCTCCTTTCTGCGGGCCTGCGTGGTGTAACTAGCAGCATACTCGACGCGTATTCGAGAGGTCCAGGGTTCGAGTGCCGGCGAGAGCATTATACTTTTTTTTAAATCTCTTGCTTCAAAATAACATAATGACTCTACAAGTGACGCCCGAACTAGAAGTGGTGGACAATAATTTGTCACCACCAGGATTTGGCGATTGGATCCCCTTTGTAGTGTAATTGGAAGCATATTCGGAGCGCATTCGAGAGGTCCAGGGTTTGAGTTCCTGCGAGGGAACTGCACATTTTACATTTTTCACGTCTCCTGCTGTCTTCGCCTAAACTCTGTTATGCATACTACTGTACCAACAGTCTTCTTTTCTTTAGAGATTAAATAAGATACTGTTAAACCAGTTATACTGCAACAAGCCTCCTTCCTCTGCAAGTATCGTTTCAAATCAGTACTCTCCCACATTAGCTGATGTATTATTTGTTAAAATCTGTATCACTTATGTTGAAATATACAAAATGAATGTCTGTCATTAAATTGCATACAGGCAGGACGGATTTTCTTATTTAATCAAAAAGCTATTCAATTCTGGTCATAGATCATTCAGCACCCGCCTTAATCACTAAAATATGAGGTAAAGACTATTTATTTTTAGCGAATATTTATTTGAATGAAGGCTTCTTCTTAAACGGAATGATTGTGGGATTAAATAAATTTTAAATTTAAAGATATACTCACCGATGGTATGCTGTGTTTCCACGGAGAAAAGAAACGCTGTGGAGAAAGAATCAACCCCTACGACGCATGGTTTCCAATCATCGTCGTTTATGTGATCGAAGTCTCCATGGGCTAAGCAAATCAACCACCATATAAGCGAGAAGATAAGCCAACTTAGAAGAAATCCCATTGCAAAAACCTTTAAAAAATATTTATTCTTACGAAAGTAAAATAAATAAATAAATAATTAAATAAATAAATTCGAAAATAAATTTTCATTCTTTCATTTAACTGAAATCCATAGAATTTAGAAACAATAAATATTTTTTTTTTACAGCAAAATGTTTAAGCCTACATACTGGAATATGTCAGTTCAAATATACATACTAACTGTTTTGAAGTTTGAATACCATGTAAATCAGAACCGTAAATTAATTTTTCATAAATAAACACGTTGCTGAACAACAAGTTAAAGAAAATTATATTAATGAATTGAAGTTCGAATTACATTTGTTCGAAAGTTCGCGATAGTATTTGTGTATTAATATATTGTTGCGTGCGTAAGGGTTCGTAATAGACTGAATGCACACAGAATCGATGATAGCTTGATAAAATTTATTTTACTAAAAGGAACACTTTGCAGTTCTGGAATGTTACACAAAAACACTCGTACAGTTCTGCTCAGCATCACAGAGCACAATCAGTAATTAAACTTGGATCAGTAATTACACTTGGATCGGTAATTACACTTAAAACTACTAAGAACGTTAGACACAACGATATGCAAAGTCCACCTAAAAGGAGAAGATCACACGAAGATATCTTAATCCATAGTCGCTCTTAACTAACAACTAAAAAACTAATGTCTATGTCGTAACGCAATTAAGAGGCAATCGGCCTAGTGCGGCCTTTACCAATATATTATAAATAGGCTATCTTTAATGATGAGTTGAATCAACACCTCCTAGAACTAACTGGGGTTGAATCCAGTAAGATGGAACGTACTTTTTGCACCTAGTGCAGTCTCTAGAAGAGAAGTAAACGTGGCGCCATCTTTTGGCAAAAATTGTAGTGAGCGTGAGCGGGACTAAGAAACTAATGCTCTCTCCGGTCTTATATAGTTTTCCCCCGACCACTGAGAAATCACTAGTCTTTAGTATTGGAAGGCTTATGAGGGCCAGCACGGTTACAGCTAAATAGAAAATCAATAACAGTTATTGAATTTCAATACCAATTACAATTATACGAGGATCGGATAAAAATGGCACCAAATGGTAGCCAAGTTTGGTCACTTTTAGCGATTTCTCGTCCAATTTGGCGACAAAACTTAGTCGCCAAAACCATCGCAAGCTTGGCAATATCTCGTGGATTTAGCGAGATTAATAAGACTTTCTCCTGTAATCGAATTTTTCCAACAGAGTTTTGACTCTTCATATTTTCAGGTTACATTATATATGACAGATATTACAGTTTTAAACATAATTTCACTAAAATTATTTACATGTGTACAAAAATTCGTAACAATATTATCAAATACTGAGATTTACATTCTCGTTCCGCATACATATGTTTAAAATAATGATTCTTAGCTCATAACAAACTGTCAGTGTTAAATGGCAAATCATGTTAACATGAATGTGCAGAGACCTAAATTTATTTAATTTTTATGCACTTTTTAATCGCTATCTATGGCTAGAATATACTACGATAGCAAATACATACCATTAGATTATATCTCCATTGTATATCTACCAATGTGGTGAAGATATCTTGTAAGTATCTTTGACTTCTCTTGCTGACGTGTTCTTTTGACAAGTTAACTGTTCCGTTCTTCAACACGACTCGTTTCCTATGGCGGCTGGATGGTCCTCTCGTCAGCCGGACAATACCAGATCCGGCACCGCCATCGGTTCCATTACTTTTTAAGGAGTAACGGCTGGACGTGCTTTTTGTACGGTACAGACCCCTGTGGGAAGATATTTTGATTGAAACGAATTAAAATATTTTAGCGAATAAGGACTTTTTTCAGTACTTTACATGCACATTTGAAAAATGTTGTTGCCTGTAAAAATGATGCATCGTAGTTAAGAAATAGGAAAAGCACATAAAAATGTAAGAATATTTTTTTTTGCGCATTTAATAAGAAATGAGCAAAGAAACTTCATTTGAATAAAATACAGGAAGCTTCGTATCTTTAATAACATACGAATAAAATACTTAGCCCTTCATTTTATTAACGCCAAAGTGTAAGTCGTTGAAAAGATATTAATTTGTTAATGAGTATGACAGGACTAGTATGAAAAGATGTCATAGCAATATTCCGTTTCGGCCCATACTCTGGCGAAACTGTCTGCAGTAAAACTTGCAAATGCTTATTTATTTGTGCTTATTACTGATTAATATTACTTTATGCACGTAGTTTTAAATTCATCATTTTTTCCATAAGAACGAAGATTTGAGTTCTCAATCTGTTATCATTTAAAGCGTATGCTACACAATTACATGCTTCTTTAATTTTTAAATATTCCTTTGCTTATTGCAAAGCCATTTCTTTACTTCCTTGTCATCATTGTAAGGAAAAAGTAATAATTCCTTTTATCAAGCAATCAAAAAACAAATGTAAAAAACTCCATGAAAGGCATCGCTCCTAAGTCATATAGCCATGGGTGTTTTCCGATTAAAACCAGTCTAAATTATAGACCTCACTTTGATTTTGATTTCAGTTGAAAACAAAAGTGTAACAAAAGTTGAAATTTATTCAGTATTAAAATTCCTCAAGTTAGCATGCATCTGCTTTTGCAGACTGTGAACCACGCTGTGGTTCCTAGTCTTCAAGATGGTCATTTGAAAATATCCAGCTTTTACAAATGCAGAAATATAAAATCTCAGTAATGTTCGGTTTCGGTTCACACTCTGGAAAAATTGTCTTCAGTAAAGCTTGCAAATGCTTTGTGTGCTTCTATCCTTGAGGTGGTCAGATTACGAATTCCATTTTTAATAAACCTCAACAAAGTTCCAGAGGAAGAAGTCTAATGAGGTAAGATCAAGACTTCTTGCAGGTCATAAGAAAGGTCTATTTATACCAATCCAGCCATACGGGAAATTTACGATCCAACTCATCTCGTACAAGATTTGTAAATTGGAAGCGATGCTCCATCTTGGGAGGAGGGGCGGAAGATCTGAGGCTCAGCATCTTCAATTTTCAGTTGTTAAATTTTGTGGAACACGATGATTTGTAATGATACTGTATTCTTTTATATATTAATATGTAAATAATCTTAATACCATGCAGTGTAAATATGTAACCTTCAACTTTATAGCTGCCTGTTGACAGATGAATAATCGAAACACAATTGCAGATATTATTCTTAGGTAGCACTAAAGAAAGCTGGCTTTCCTCGACTACTGCAGGAGCTTGCCTTCCAAGGGGGCTCTCTCCCATTCAATAGCGGTGGAAAAGGGGGGAAAAAAAGAAAAAAAGATTAACCTATGGTAAACAGACCATGTCCCTGTCTTCTGTCAACAGTCAATAACATGCTGAAGTGCTCTCTCAAGTTAATATTACTTTCAACAGAGAAATAAAGGCAGAAAGTTTTATTACTCATTACTACTTACCTGACACTGATGTTAGGAAAATGCCGAATATGCTCATGGTGATTATATAAATGCAAAGATTTTCAGAGCCCATAATTTAGCAATTGCTGCTAATCAAAATACATGCATATAATCATTTTGAGCGAAGAACTAAACAAAAATTTTAAAATCCATTTCACGTAATAATACTTCGCAGAGATTACATGAAGTCCTAGTATTCAGTCTCGAAGACCTTGAAACATGGTTATTCCTCGAACCAGCATAGATTACCAGCATACCAGCCTGTATAATGAACAGCATTATAAAATAAAGCTAGGCTAATTGATTTATTGGATATCAGTTTTTATTTTGCAAGGGTTACTTTAATTTTCTAATTTTTTTTTGGAACAAACCTTTTCTATACATTTCAAAGTTCTACTTAAGTTTCCCTGCCAGAGCAAGTTTTCAGTATTTCGATTTCTGTAAATGAGTTAGAAAGGACTATTTAAGCTGAAGTCTGGGTCACTTCAGCAGGAGAGCATGTTCTGCCTTTCGGTCACGTTGTTGTTGCTAGTCTTACTGTTTTACGGTCGCACTTTGACGTTGCCTGCAAGTATACGCCGGTGATCAAGGGCCAGCTTTGTTAGTTCATTCTGTGCAGCTTCGGTTGGTTTATCTTATTTAGCATTACATTAGTTTTATATTTTCTATCTTGAGTTAAAGCTCAAGTAGAGGCTTATTACACGCCCGAGAAGGGGCCACCTGCTCATTTATATTGAGTTAAAATAAAGAGTAATTTAACCATTTTTTGGACTTGTTACTTACAAACTCAGCAAATAGTCGCTACACAGTTCTTCAGTATTCTAGTTTATCAGGGAACCTAATTTAGCTAAGATATTACAACTTCAGATCTAGAGTGCAGAGTTTCGAGTTCCGACGAAAATAATTTACCATACTTCCCCTACATATTAAATTACGTAATTTTAGAAGGTATAATAAGTTAACTAATTATTATTATTTTTACTACCTTGTACGAAGTGAAAAGGAAGTATTATAATCGCGAAAAATTTTGGGTATCATATTTCAACGAAAATACCCATTTTGACTGCTATCGAATGCAATTTAAGGATGTTTTTGCGTGACATCTGTACGTAAGGGCAGAATAAAGGACTCTTTTTTTTTCCCCAGACGAATCATAAAACTTATTTAAAATGGATTCAGAAGAAATTTTTTTCGTGGCGTCTGTACGTATGTAGTATATTTGTATCTCGCATATCCGCAAAACGAGTAGCCTCAGAATGTTGAAAATTTGTGTATAGGTCTGTTATAACATGCAGACGTGCACCTTCCATTTTGGTTGCAATCAGCCACATCAAAGGTAAGTAAATATATGTATATGTATATCTATATGTACTCGGCTCAGTGAGTTCAGTTTCTTTATTTTTATATGTTTGTAAATTGTGCATTTTTTGTTTAAAAATGACTGAATTATGTTGTTCTTATCTTCTGATTAAAGTTCTTATCTTCTGGTTATTCCTTTAGTTAGCCTGCATGTTACAGTTGTAGAATTATCAACAATTTAAAAGTTATTAATTTAGAAGTCAAACAACAAAAATCAGCATTATATTTGCAAATTTTCAAAGGACTAGTTTCGACTTCTAAATTAATACCTGTTCGGGGTGTTATTTTATCTTAATTTAAAAGCTGTTTGAGTGCGGCTAAGCCTAATTTGTTTTACCATAGTTTTCATTTTAACTTAATTTCGGTACTTTTCCGTTCCGCCGCGCAAATCTCGCCAAGTAGACTTTATTGGCGAAAACACACAGTATACACATAAAATCTGTTGACAAATGTTAGTTCTAAGAATTTTTTATTTTAAAGGTATAAATATTTTAATGTTGTTTAAAATTTTGTAAAAAAGACAATAAATAAAGACAATAAATTTGTGAAAAGACATTAATTTAAGAATTTACTATGTTTTCATCATACAACATCCTGATTCGCTGGCTCATATCACGTGACCCCAAGTGATCTCATCTCACGCAAACTACGCTACAAAAATCTAATTCTCTCAGTAATTATCTACATTAATTTCAAGTTAAATCTTAATTTGGAATACAAGTTTAAATGCAAGAATTATTTCAGTTAGTACGAATAGCTTACTCAGAAATTAAAACCGCAGTGCTTTACTTCGCTAGTGCATTCTCATTAGAATTGATGAATTTAACCCTTGACTTTGCCTTTTCTATATTTTCGCCATCTGGTGAGCGGTGTGATTGCATCCTAATTGACTTAATTACCGCCCTCGAATGGCCTTAGGGCATTCGCGGGCGGTAATTAAGTCAATTAGGATTGTCAATAAGTCAAAATTGATCTATCTGCTAAAACTTCTATGTAATTGTATGCCAGTATTTAAAGAAACAATCAATTTGAAAAGAAATGGCTGCGACTTGTTTTGAAAATGCAAAAGTTAAAGTAAAAGGTTACCAGCGAGGATATTTCGTTTGGCATCGGTTGTACTATTATTGGCGACTTTATCGCTTGCGCCAGCAAAACGGAAAAGTATTCTTATTTCCTAGAATTTCATTAGATATACTATTTCCCATTCAATTAATTCAGTTCGCGACAAGGCAAAAATACATAAAAACTAAAAATAGCTATATTAAAAATTGAAAGGTACAGAAAATCATAAAACACCAAATACAGTTAAAACAACTAAATTTTTTTTACCATTGAAATTACAGTTTTTGCGCAAAAATAAGCAATTCGGCCAGCGGGCAAGAAGGCAGATTTTCTGGTGCACAAAACTGAAAATTTACTTTTGGTCTCACTCGGCAAAATGACATTGAAGGCGTAGAAACTGAGTTTGTTGTGGACGCTGAGTCATTAACCTAGTTTTAGTTAAATGATATGATTTCATTAATTCGCACTATTAGTCCAAACGGATTTGAGTACCGAAGCATTATTACTTTCGTTTTGGCATTTTGCGTCGAACTCCTATAAATGTTGGTTCACTTTTCAAACTATTGCCTCAAAATGTTAGAGTCCTGCATTATATTTGAAGAAATTAAATAATGAAAAATCTGCATAAATACATGTATATTTCTCGCATTGGGATAAAACAATGGTATCTAGAGCCTCCAATTTTGAATGACGTAATCCTACTGCGAATATGGGCCTCTGAAATCCCAAATTTGAAATTTGGAATTTGTTTTATGATCAATTTTATATTTTGTAAAATTTTAACGAATTTCTGAGCAACAAACTCAACGATTTGAAAGCGAGCAATAGCAACACTCTACGGCGGAAAAAAAAAAAAAAAAACCTTTTTTTCTCCAGCGTGTCGAACTGTGTATCGCAAATTCTAAAGATAGGCTCATTTAAAAATTATTTTGCGAAATTGCTACTGAACTAAATTTTATGGTTTAAGTGCAAAGAACATGATATTTAATAAATAAAGGTAACACACAAAACGTTAAAAAAACGCCTCTTTGGATGTAATTTAAAATCTAAAATATTTCAGATTTTTTAAAAAAATATTATGTTTATTCAAAAGGAAAAAAAAATAAGTTTTTATTTCATATTCTGGAGATTTATATCCGTACGCTCTCTTTGCAGAATTTAGAATCATCGTAATTCTTGTTTAGTTTACATACTATGTGCATGTACGAGTACATATTTTGGATTATAAAATAATTTAATTTAAAATGTATTCAATTTACCCACCATGATTATGTACACATACGCACTTCTCTAGGTAAAAGAAAGATAAATTAGGGTTTATTCGATAAACTTTTTTGACAGTAAGAGTAAGCCAGTTTATAATACTGAGATAATGTGTTTTTAAGCAAATCATGTAGTAGGGCCAAAACTAATTTAGGACTTCATTCTCTCAGTAAGATTTTTCAAACGTTTAACGCTGAGTCAAATCTGGACCAATGCTTCTCTATATAGAGAAGATATATATATTCTATAGAGTTTTAAACACTTTGTTTCTTGTTAATTTAAGTCTGAGATATGAGAGGGAAATTAAAAATCATCTTACCTGTGATTTTCTCCTGCCATTGAGGCCGAGGACATTGAAATAGCATCGAAATCTTGCTGCTGAGTACGGTTTTCATCAGGCAGGATTTCCTGCCAGACGCCGCCATTGTCTGGATCAAAATATTTCATGACTGATGAATGGAGCCTAGAGAGAGGGGGTAATCAGTGTTAATTTCTTGACCACTTACGCATTTATATACGTAATATATACGTAAGCTATATGTATTTAAACACGTAAGCCTTTCAGAATCTTTTATTGAACTTTCAAATAAAAACCTTATAATGAATCTTATATGAATGGTTTGTGGATATTAGTAGTTAAGAATTAATCACACGAAGACACGTTCAAGGAAATTTTAAAAAAATCCATATTTTCCAATAAGCACACGTGAAATAAAAATAAAAAATTAAAGATATATTTAAATTAATAATTTTAACGGTATTAAGGTTCTCCAACCCTTCACAGCCTCAGCTTTCAAATTAAGAAAACATTTAATAAACACCATGAAGACAATTAATAAAAAAATAAGAAAATACATTAAAAATGATGAAGACACATTGTATAATTAACCAATATCATATGAGAACGAATGAGGCCCTCCAGCGGCCGAGCGGTAAAGTCGCTGATCACTGGTAGTTCGGTCTGAGGTTTGAGTCTCTTTCCCCATGTGTAACGTGTATACGAGCCGGTTACCTTTAGAAAGCTCTCCATGAAGGCCTCCGTCCCCTTAGGCAGATAGCCCTCGAGGTTTTGCCGTAATTAAATAACCTAACCTAACCTAACATGAGAACAAATTATAAAAAAATCAAATCTTTTTTAAACCACAAATGCATAGAAATAAAGAAAAATTATATATTTAAAAACAATAAGCAATCGTAGAAAGTCAGATTTTCTGATTATAAAACAAAAAAATGACCCGGATGTTATGTTATCAAATGTTAATCAAAAAACAATAAGCAGTCTTCCGAAAACAAATTATATAAAAAATTCTAATAAAAAATATAAAAAACGGATGAATGATAAAAGTTAAATACATGTATGTATAAATCTATATAAAATACATTAAAGATCGAATTGTAAATTTCTAATGAAAATATATAAAAATGGATGAATGATGAAAGATAGGAAATGTATATGAAAGTACATAAAAGACTGAAAGATGACTTCAAAAACAAGACACCTTTAATTAAAAATAAGAAAATTACACAAGGAAATAAACTTTAGCTAAATACTTATAAATAATTTTCTTGTTAAATTATTAAACATTTACAAGGTCTAACAAAACTTACAAGGTCTTCATTTCAATCGCGCTTCTACACGAGGGGGGGGGGGACCCAGATTTAACAATTTGTAACAATGTCATAATTTTTTATTTTAAAGACCTCATAATAAATATTGAATTTTTAAATAGGACTTATTAGGAATAGTTATTTCTTTATGTGTTTCAGTCTCATATTCAAACGATCACCAACGTTTACTAAAAGTTCCTTATGGAAATTCTCTCTCTCTCTCTACATATATACTTATGGAAATTCTATATATATATATATATATATATATGTAAATTCTACATACATATGAAATAAAGTATTATTAAAAGGTATTAAAATATCTACAACATCTGTTTAAACAGATTGGATAAACAATGAAATTTTAACATCTCTTTCTTTAAGAAATCTTGAAGCGTTGCTTAAAATGTTTTCATTTGAAACTTTCGTAAATAGAAATGCAATTTTGTTGAGGTTTAAAAAGTACGCTCATGCTATAAAAGGCACGAATGTATAAAGTGGAATTAAAACATATAATTTACATATGAGGTAGGGGTTGCACTGCCGAATGCAAATAGGCATCCAAAATTAACATAAAACGCAATCCCGCAGTCACATCACAACGCCTTAAAAAGGCCATTTCCGACCGATTTTTGTTCGCAAGTAGAGATAGTTTCGTGTAATCCGAGATAGCCACAGCGGAAAGCATGAGTCGAGGACACCATTTTCACGATGTAATGCGTTGGAGGGCTCTCGGAATGTTGCAAGCTGGTACCAGCCAATCCGCTGTTGCAAGAGAGCTGAATGTTCATCGTAGTGTTATCAATATGCTGTGAAATCTTTACCAAGGGGATCAAACCCTCTGTAGAAGAAGTGAATCTGGACGTCGGAGGATTACCAAAACGGCGGACGATCGCTTCCTGTTGCTATGTGCAAGACGCGGTACTCACTAACAGCACGATAGCTGGTGACGTATCTCTCTGCTGTTGCGGAACGGCCCATATTCTTCCAATATGTATCGCGTCGACTGCATGAGAAGGTGGATTGTACGCCCGACGACCTGTGGTTTGTATTCCTTTGTCCACATCGCATGCCAGAGCACGATAGAATTGGGCCCGTGAACATCGCAGTTGGACACCAGAGCAGTGGGTCCACGTTCTGATTACGGACGAGTCTCCATTTAACATCCAGAACGATTCCCGAAAGGTAATGAATGATACGGCGAGAGCCAGGTACATGCTATCGGGCGCCAGACATCACAGAAGAGACCATTACTAAGGATAATGCTTACTTGTATGGGCTGGAATAGCAGCGAAGGGCCACACCGATCTCAACGTGATTCCTGGTGGTTCCGTGGCAGCCGTCTGATATCGCGACGAAATTTTATACTCTCTTATGCATCCTTTTATCGCTGCAGTGATACCGACGGGATGTTTATGGACGATAATGCTCACTCACATAGAGCTCGAATAGTGCTGGGTTATCTGGAGAGTGAAACAATTCTATATCTGCAGTAGCCTGTAGGACCACGGGGCCTGAATCTCATACAGCATGTGTAGGATATGTTGGGACAACGGATATCAGGTCTCAGTGTGCCGCCAGACACCCTCCACGAGCTGCGAGAAACTGCATTACTACAGGAATGGGCGTTACTGCCACAAAAGCGATCCAACGACACCATATGGGCCCACCAGCGGCCGAGCGGTAAAGTCGCTGAACACTGGTAGTTCGGTCCGAGATTCGAATCCCGCGAAAGGGCTGGCTGCATGGGTGTTTTCGTGGTTTTCCCCATGTGTAACGTGTATACGAGCCAGTTTCCCTAAGAAAGTCCTCCACAAAGGCATCCCTCCCCTTAGGCAGATAGCCCTAGTGTGCTTTGCCGTAATTAAATACACCACCAACGACACCACTGCCAGCTTACCTCGTCTTTGTCAAGCATGCATTTCACCTAGAGGTTATCAAACCCGTTATTATGGTAATGATTTCATTGCACATTCTTGCGATCCATTTGGTCTTTTGCAATGTGATGGTCGTAATACATAAGTTTTGTATGTCTTTGCTTTATTGTTTGCTACGTGGTCTAATAATAGCGCACCAACCTCTTGTTCAATTTCACGGATTACCGATTAAATAGTTTTTTTCAGTGTTCCCTTGTTGCTCATTTTTTTGGGCAAGAGTGTACTAAAATCAAGAGAGCTAATTGCATAAAATGGAGAAGCCATTTTATGATGTATTTCATTGAGGCATCTCAGTCATTTACAGGATCTCTGAAAATGGTTAAAATTTAATTTTTCATGTCATAATTTGCATCATTTGTTAATTTTACAGCAGGAGGAACATAAAAAACCTTCTTAATTATAATTTAAAAGGCAACCATTTTTTTGTGTTTGTTTCTAAGCTTTTTTCCAAATACCTCTTATTGATAACATTTTTTGGTTTAGTTAGATCTTTAACGTTTCCAATTGTTTTATCTCTTGCATCTATAGTTTCTTTATAGAAATTTAAAGCAATGTTTGAAAATGGGTTTAAATTTGGAAAAGGTTCATAGAATATTAAATTTTAAATGGAGAAAGAACTATATTGGATGAAAATTTAGTTGCTGTTTGCTATGAATAAAATTGAAGTCACCTTCAATAAATCAAGCTATGCTGGAAAAAGCATATTAGATTTATCAAAACAATTAATGTATGACATTATATTATATTACGAAACCTAAATTTTCAGATAATATTATACTACTGTATATGGATGGTACAACCAGTTTCATATATCTAATTAAAACTAATGATTTTTAATAAGATATGAAAGGCAGGATTGATTATTTTGATAAATAGGATTACACCAAAAATAACTACAATATTCGACAAGTAAATAAGAAGGTTTTAGGAAAAATGAAAGATGAAAATATTGGAAAAATTATGAAAGAATTTTTTGGATTAAGACCCAAATCGTACGCTTATAAAACTGAAAAAAATATAGCTAAGAAGTAAAAAGGTGTTAAAAGTTATGTGGTTAAAAACAGAATTCCATATGAGGATTCGAAACATTGTTTAATTAAAATGAGCGTTATACAACCATAAACTTAATTAGAAATACAAAACAATACTTTCATTCGGTTGAATGCAAAATCATTATCACCTACAAATAGATGATAGACGCTAAATTTTAGAAGATGGAATTCTCACGATAGCATTAAGTCAATATAAAGGTTACATTTAGTAAAAATGATTATTAATAAATAATGGAAGAATTTAGCATCTTGGGATTTTACACTGAAACACTTAAACTGAAGATTTAAATACAGGAAAAGTATAAATTGATATGAAACGCATCCAATCAAAATACAGATTTAACAATAGCTAACTTAGCAGTAGATAATGAAAAAAGAAGTTATTTTCTTAAAAAAAGTGTCGCGGTAATCTCGGTGTTATATTTTTAATTTCAAAGGAAGAATTAATAATACGTAAATATCACGATTACGAATTGGAAGAGCTTTTCTTAAAAATAACAACTTATAAATGGATGTCAATTGAATAAAAGTTTCAAAAACAGATAGATTATCTAAAAATTTGATTAGAAATTTTAAAATTGTTGTGGATTGGATAATTATTTCAAAATGTTAGGTATTGTCATAATCTTTTATCTTAGAATATAAAAACAAAGTATATTGGGATAATATTTGCACATATCCAAAGAATATCGAAAAAATTTCTCATTGAGAATGAACACATTGGGATATCATATGTAGATATTGAAGTATCATATAAACATTGAGATATTGGGATAACATATGTGGATTTCAGACGTTATCAGAAAAGTCTATGATTGAAAATGCTTCTAAGCTGTATCTTCAAGTATCAGAATTTCAAGTTTTAA